CTTCAAGCAGCAGCGGAAGGAGGCCATCTTCAGGTGGTAGAGCGGCTTCTCGCCGCAAAGGCTGATATTAATGCGCCTCCTGGAGAGAGAAATGGACGAACAGCGCTCCAAGCAGCAGCGGGAGGAGGCCATCTTCAGGTGGTAGAGCGACTTCTCGCCGCAAAGGCTGTTGTCAATGCGCCTGCTGGATACGGAGGAACAGCGCTCCAAGCAGCAGCGCAAGGAGGACATCTCAAGGTCGTAGAGCGACTTCTCGCCGTAAAGGCTGATGTCAATGCGCCTGCTGGATACGGAGGAACAGCGCTCCAAGCAGCAGCGTATGGAGGCCATCTTAAGGTCGTGGAGCGACTTCTCGCCGTAAAGGCTGATGTCAATGCGCCTGCTGGATACGGACGAACAGCGCTCCAAGCAGCAGCGCATGGAGGCCATCTCCAGATAGTAGAGCGACTTCTCGCCGCAAAGGCTGATGTCAATGCGCCTGCTGGATACGGAGGAACAGCGCTCCAAGTAGTAGTACGAACAGCCAGAACCAGTCACAGACATACTGTTTCAGCCCGAAGTTATTCATAACTCAACATGCGGTGCTGCGTTTTGTGCGGATGATTCTTCTAATTTGGTACCGCGACGCGAGCGGACCGAGCACGAGGATAGCCCTGTTATAAACTACGACTTACTTCCTCCAAGCAATTGATAAAGGATGCTTCAATTCGGGATAGCCTTCCAGCGGGAAAAGACGTTTTTTGCTTTGAGATGGAGGTCGCAGGCTAATGAATCATTTCCCTGTTTGGTCATTCGGGGCATGTGCGATGACTCGGACTCGCATAAGAACAAAGAGTGGCAAGGGAATGCATCGTATATTTTTCAAATAAATGCTCCTGTTAATCAAACTTGATTCCTCCGGTAAGAAATGATTTAGACCTTCCAATCAAACACAATAATAGGAGGATGCATCAATTAGAGCCGAGGAGGTTATGAATGAAATCTCCCCGTCCCATTTTCCTATCATTACCGGCCTTGTGGGAGAAGATTGGGCCTCATCATAAGCTCAAGAACAGGTCGAAAATAGCGATCACCGAACAATATATCTATGCGATGACGTTGAATCATAAGTGCAATAGCCGTCCTCGGATCTTTTTAGATCCGCTCTTCAACTTGACGCTCTTCAGCTTGAGTTTCTTCAGAGTCATCTTGAGACTCCCGAGGCGCTTTCGCTCGAGGCTCAGATTCAGTGGATTGTTCGATCTGTTCCCACGCTCGAACTCCGGCTAGAGGAAGCTTTCCGGGAAAGAACTCGTCACGCATGCTCCGACCTATGCCTGGATACTTCTGTTCAACATCCAAGAGTGTATCCATCACTTTCGTTTTACCGAAGACCCCGACATAATCTAGATGAATGCCATAATTCTCCGGCTTCATGCTTCGACCAGCGACGAAAACATTCTGAACAATGCCAATACCGCCGATGGCGAGAAGAAACCAAGTGTTTCCCCTAAGACCTGCTGCGGCGATGAGAAGAAGTACCCAGAATATAGAGAGGGCGAGGAGAACAGCTCGGGTCAAGGTATTAGTAGAGGATTCAACATTGCTCTGTCCAGATGCCAAATCCTCAAGGTTCAAGCCATGTCCATTACCAAGAATAACGATGGCATGTTGCGCACCGTTACCTCGAGTGAGAATATAGGAATACTTGGACTTAGGCCGGCACGCCCACTTTTCCTTCTTCCATTGTGGGAGAACTCCAGTCACGATGGCAAGAACATTGCCGCATGCCGTAATTATCAAAATGCCCCAATCGCCGAAAAGTCCACATGGTATAGCCGCAATTCCCAATTGCAATAACATGATGAGCAAGCCGCTCCAAAAAATAAGATCGCGTTTAGCTAGGCCGGCCTTTGGTGTCGCACTCGGCTCGTAGATAGTAACAACAAGACCAGCTCTTGTTGGCTCCTCTGCAGCCTTATCGAGGGATTTGAGTTCCTCCCACTTTTCTCCCAGAAGTTTTTTGGTCTTCTCTTTGGTAGCAGTGCCGCTCCATGTATCAAAATCGCGCACAATACGGCCTATAACCCAGCTCGAGTTGTCTCTACTGTATCCACTCTTGCCATTGATGACTTTGCATTTGCAATCCACGTTCTGTGGCATGAGTTTGTTTTCGCCAACGGCAGATACAAGCGCCGAGACGGAGTACGCAACCCATCCTATTCGAGTACATCGACTTAGCATGGAATCTTCGTTAGAATAGGGCTTAAAGATGCCATACCAAACGAGAATGTGACTGGCGTCAGGCCACTTCCTGCAAGTTGTGCCAGCGCGCGAGCAACAATATCACCGCCCAGGATCAGTAGTACGGAAAATACATCGCTAGGGTGGACCCATTGAGTCCTGAATTCGTTAGAGGATACAGTCGGATCAAATCGAGGTTCACGGGATAGTAAGGTAGCGAGAAAGGGCGCCATGATTTCTTCCTCGAAGAAGGAAGAATTGTGTTCAAATGAAAATTGCGTAATGAGGAATATAATGTCCGTTGAACGTCGAAATCCAGGAGGATGTGGTGGGGGTACGAACAGTCCTGGCCAGGCACAGGCCCTGTTGACAAATTGGGTACTTACATGCATGTAGCGCCGAGATTACACCACAGAAACTTCGCACCGTTAGAACCCATTCGTGGTGGCCGTGAGATGAGTGGCCGACTCATGAAAGAGACGCCCAAAGCGTGTTAGGTTAGTGCGCGGGTGACTAGCTGTCACCCAACTCAACCAAAAGTAACCTCAAATGACCCGACTTCCGCACATTCACGTTGATTATTCAAATTATTTAGTCCAAGATTTCCTAGAGAGCAGAGAATTACATTCGTACTGCATATTTCCGTCACATTACTCTACAGGGTCCGCAGAGTTCAGCATGGCTGTTATTCTCTCAGATAATTTTCCTTGAGAAGCTCAGTCTTTCTTCAAAACTGCTTTTCTTCTTCTTCTTCTTCTTTTCTCTTCGCCTCAACAGTTTGTATTCGATTCATTTCCAGTCAAGTGGGCGAAGCATGAATCGAGACTGCACGGACCCTCGATTGGACTCCGCCATCGTACCTCGAACACGAGAACTCCTGCCCATATGCACATAGCCATGCATCACCCCTCGAGCGCCAATACTCCGGAGATATGGCCCTGCTCCATAGCCGCCCATGTTTGGGAATATTAATCACTGGCACTGTGTCAGCTTTTCCAAATTTTCCATAACGCTGCTATTTTTCAAGAACAATCCAGTATCACACCATTTATTCGAATTTTACAAATCCCCTAGAGCCATGTCCTTGTCATTAGCCGATACAGAGGCCACCTTACGAGCAGTCGACAAAGCCACGAACGAATTGGGCTTTTGTCGCAACCGCGTCTGGGCGATAGCCAAGAGCCTACTGGGAGGTCCTGGAGAATTCCCGAAATTACTCCCTTCGCTGGAAAATTCACCCCACGAGACAAAAAAGGAAGACCATCAGCTGTGTACTTTCGATTTTTGCGAGCAATCCCGAGTCAATTTCACTCTGGTGACACAGCGCCACGAACCGCCTTGTGATGGAAGCCGCTGTCCTCTTGAAAATTTCCCTTCAGAAACCCTGGAAGCAGCTGTCCGCAAGGAGCAACAAATCACAGCGTGGTATTTATGGGAAACGGGAACTCTTCAACACAACGAGCGGTATATGGCAGTATCCCATGTATGGTCGGACGGTACCGGCACCGGAAGCCAAGCCCGCGGCGATGTGAACAGCTGCTTGCTGGAGTTGTTTCAAGAATTTGCTCTCGAATTCAACTGTGAGGGTCTCTGGTGGGATACTATCTGCATTCCAACAAAGAAAGAGCTTCGCGAAAAAGCTTTAAAGCGCATGCACCTAAACTACAAGGCCGCGGCGGTCACACTGGTCCACGATTGTTTCCTTAGAGAGCGCGAATGGCGTGATGCAGACTTAGCATGCTTTTATATCGTTATGTCTCCTTGGTTCAGCCGAGGCTGGACGGCATTGGAGTTGAAAATGTCCCAGACTGTTCAAATCATTTTCAAAGGTCCCGAGGGCCCGATCACGAAGGACCTAGACAGAGACATATTACAAGCAAAGAGCAATGATTGCCCTACCACCAAGCATGAACTTGCGAAAGACATACTCAAAAGATTTCGGAGGGAAGAAGTTGACGGATTGGATGATCTTCTAGCAATTCTCAGTTCACGCCACACATCTTGGCCAAGAGACATGGCGATCATTTCAGGACTCATTGTTGGAATCGAATTGCCAGAAAACTACCCCCAACAGAAGATTTATCAAGAGATTCTGCAGAAGCTTGGCAAAATATCACATGCGCATCTGTTCCACAATTCAGCAACTATGACGAATGGATACAACTGGTGCCCTACAAACATCTATGATCTACCTGTTACACTTTCAGCCGATGTCCTCCAGATTGAAGAGAATGGGAATTTGTTCGGAGATTGGAATATCATTTCTCTTGATTTTCTCAAAGACGAAAGCGTTGTCTTAGGTCATGCCCATCCACTCATAGAAGGAAAGGTTCGCCTCGCCCAAAAAGAGAAAGACAAGCATATCCTACTCATTGAGCCTGATCCCACTCTTAGTGAGACTAGAATAAGCAGAGGCCTTCTGGTCAAGCCTTCGTTTAGGCGCGATAAGATTCATTTCGATTGTTATTGTGATTATGTCGGCCCGGTTTATTTCCATCCGCCATTAATCAGGTCAAATATCCCAAATTTTGACCCGAATGATCTATTCAAGATTCACGTTGGAAAAGATGAGACGACGCACGATGGCAGCCATCAAAGCACCGAAAGGAGCCAAAATGCTCAGAGCATGATCGAGGATATGAAAAATGGTTTACTCAATCCGCAATACAGGAAACGGGAAAGTGATTTGAAAACACTTGACCTTACCGCATGGGACCAATTGAAATTATCAGAAGAGTTGATAAAGGCCGCCGGTGAAGGTGATTACAACAACACAAAAGCTCTCCTGGAGAAGATACGGGATCCGAACCAAAGTGATAAATCAGGGTGGTCTGCATTACATCATGCCGTTTGGTATGGCCAAACAAAGGTAGCCAAGCTGCTTGTCAAAAGGTTGAATCCTCAACAGCAGACTGCCAGTGGCGAAGAACCACTTCACCTCGCGGCAGACCGTGGCAATGAAGAACTGATGAGGATACTGCTGGCACGCTCTACTCCTAACTTGAATCGAGAAGATGGATTGAATGCTCTACATCTGGCAGCGATGAATAATGTGACTGGAATCGTGGATGAACTCTTACAAAAGTGGGATATCAACGCAACTGGTGTTAAGAAGCAGACTGCATTACATATGGCATCGTTTCGGGGCCATGAAGATGTAGTACATGTCCTGACCAAGCAAAATGCCAAACACGATCTCAAAGACTGCGACCAGGAAACCGCTTTGTCACTAGCAGTTTTCAACGGCCACGTAAATACCGTGCGGTTACTCAAAGCGGCAAAAGCTGATCTTGATGTCCGAGATAATGATGGCTGGACTCTGCTTCATCGAGCAGTGAACAGAGGTCATATTCCCGCTATCGAGACACTCGCCAAACTAGGAGCGAATCTCGAAGCCCAAGATAATGATGGCTGGACTCCGCTTCAATGGGCGGCGATCAAAGGTTATATTACCGCTATCGAGACACTCGCCAAACTAGGAGCGAATCTCGAAGCCCAAGATAATAATGGCCGGACTCCGCTTCAATGCGTAGCAAGCAACGGTCATATTCCCGCTATCGAGACACTCGCCAAACTAGGAGCGAATCTCGAAGCCCAAGATAATAGTGGCCGGACTCCGCTTCAATGGGCAGTGAGCAACGGTCATGTCACCGCTGTCAAGATACTCTGTGACCTCAAAGCTAGGTCTCAACAAGTATAGTGATTTCAACGGATTTTGGAACATTTGCCCAGTGTTGGTGCCGCGAGAGCATAATTTGGCGTATGATAGACCATCACGCCATTCATACACGCTCTCTGTCATTTTCTCCCTTATAATGTGACGTGCCAGGTCTTCAGAGATAGCAGAGTGCATTCAATACAAAATAACTAAGATAGGGGAGAAAGAAGAAGCAAGTTGCAAAGTGGGAGACAGCTAGTTCTTATAGCTGTGTCCTGACCGCTTTGTAAACAATGCAAATTACCAACTCTCGCTCAGTAAAGCAAATAACAAACAAGCAAACGTTGCGATCGTAACACATGATGTCGAGCAGACTTAGCTTAGTATGATACGGGGCTCTAGGATGTTATGTTTGTTACCAATGAGAGCCGATACTTCCGTTTGATAGGTGATCTGACAATCGGATTACAGAGTGTTCGCTAGAAGTGGGTCTCTTAGTTGGAATCTTTGTTTGCTGTGGATGATTCTCTGTCAAGCAGACAAAGATAACCGCGAGAAAGGATCTGAAAGGAACACAAATAAACCTAGCTGGTCATTATGAGTATTCGAATTCTCGAACCTCATTGTTTCTCCCAAATTTTTCGTTGTCGAGGTCCAGTCACAAAATTGTTTTTAAATCTATCAACATCCTTATCGTGTTTATCGATTTCTAGTTATAGACTTTTCAAGCCTCCAAGTCTCAGAAGAACGGAGTGTATATATATTACTTATATTGATTCAAATATAGCGTTTGTACTTATAGTATCATCAATATCGTTCATTACCTTTATAGAGTAAACGCAAGGATAGTTTGTGAGTGAAAGGGTGATGGCTTCCATGAGCCAAGGCAAAGAAAATGACGAAAACAACGTTAATGATGACAGCGACAGTGATGAAGATGATAGTGATAGACAGGAAGAAGGGGGAGGTGATAGTGACAGTGACAGTGGCACGTGGAGCTGCCCGAGTAATCTCTGAAAATTCGTGATATCGTAGTGTTTGAAGTGAAGCACATTTGGTGAGCGCATCATGGCTACCAGTGAGGTACATATTTCGACCACGAGACTGTCTCAAACGCACTCTCCGGCAAACTCCTCAACCCAATCAAATCTTCTGTTAAGATAAATCCTCTGCCAATAGCGTAAATGGCACAGAGAAACGAAATCGGAACCAAAGCTCGAATAGGAATTTCCAAGTTTGGGTCCTGCTCAGGATCAATATTTCTCAATCTCGCAGCGATACGACCAATCCATCCATGCCGTTCTCCTTTTTGCTCGAATGAAGCTTGGGCTGTGGTATATGGGAGGTCCGGTTGGAATATGGTTCTGTGGAAGTATAGCGCAAGAAGACCTCCAACCAATGCGTAGGCTAGGGCATCGACACTAGCAATCCGCCAAAGTAGCCTCTCTGTCTCTGTAGGGAAGTGATAATTCCACGCAATTAAAAAAATAGAACTGAAGAGAAGAATTACTGGGCCACAGATGATTTCGGCCTGGGTATCCACCACTGGTATGAAATGGCTCGGAATGCGATCATACGGGCGTCGTGTAGGTCGAGTAAATAGCGGGATTCGCATAGAGTGCGAGATTTGAATGTAATATCTCCAAAACCGAGAGTAAAACCACTCATTACGAGAGATGAAGTCAAGTGGCGTTTCATACCACTTTGACTCTGGGTTTTGGTCGAGCTTTTTGCGAATGATAGCCACAGAGCTCTTAAGCTTTAAAGTGACTGGTCTTTCAATATCCATGGGCTTATGATACCAGCAATAAGACGTCACAAGAAAGTTTAGAATAAAGGAAAGCGTGGTAAGCTCGATAGTGGTGACATGAAGTCCCTGTGCAAAACGAAAGACGCAATTCAAGCAAAACCAGAGGGCTTGGGCTATTGTGATCAATCTACCCGCCACAGTCAGTATAAGAAGCGGAAGAAAAGGCTTGACTGAAGTAAGTTTTTAACTTACCTAGCAAGCCGATCTGATTTGCTCTTATCTTCGATTTCCTCTTTTTTTATACTCGGATAATCAACATATCCCCCTTTGACCAAAATAAAAAGCTGTTTGCCGTTGAGAGGGAATGAAGGCAAGCAATCTATCCCCGGAGGCTCAATTAAAAATCCCCCCATATCGGCGAAGAAGGCATGCTTAATCGTCCAATTTTTATACCCGGCGTCGTGGAAATCCTGTTCTGTCAGTTTCTCGTCGCTTGGGAACCAGCTTATAAGTTATCACCTACTCTAATAGAACGGCGGGCGGACGACCACTGTCCTAGAACCAGCAGCAATAGGAACTCAGATCCAAGCAGTGCAATGCAAGCCAGATCGAATTTGTATCGCCATCTCGTAAACGCGCCATCGGTTTGCGCAGGTAAATTTGGGGACACGGATGTCCAGCAACAGAGAATAATTGTTAGAACGCAAGTGGATAGAATACCCCACGTCCCTCGTCCATCAGGCTCGTCAACCCAGTCATTTATAATTGTGCCGTTCATTTTTGATATATTGTTGAACACAATAAGTCAATATTCATAAAATCAAGGGCCATAGCAGATTTAATATAGCCACTGAGACCCTCCAGCGTTAGTGCATTTCACAGGGGTGGCTGAGAGGGAAGCTACTGTTTGACTACGCGCCCCTAAAATCGAAAGATATGCAGATCCTTAGGAGATGCATAACAGAGTGACCTTGGCGCTCAGTGATTGGCAGCTTTTTCTTCAGTCATATTATTCTTCAGTAATATTATTGCCCCGTGGATATTGTGGTAAATCCCTGGGGCTACCGATATAACCGCTCATAAATTGACCGCCCATTTAAGAGCTTGGTCTATTTATAGAAGGCTTAGTTATAGTAAATAACTAGTTATACCGTAAATTATATATATAAATAATATAACACAGCCACTTCTATAACGATAACGAGCCTAAGAAGATCAAGTATACTCCGTAGTGACTCGGGATTGCGGGACGGATTGCCGTAGTGCTTGGTGGTTCTCGGATCTCTCACGGGTTCTCGGGTTTGAGAAATAAAGGGCGCTGGTTGGTAGTGACTGCTTACTCGGCTGCTAGGTATAGATATCAGATCGTCGCTGAGGTATTTTTGCTATTGGGTGCTTGGAACAGGGCGCAGTACCTGCAGTTACTAGGGAAGCAAGCCACAATGTACTAATTCACAGGCCGTTTACGAAATAAATTACATTAGGAATAAGAAGCGAAGGAGGCAAGGTGATTTGAGTCTTTTTGGTGGCATTCATGGGTTCTGAAATCCTCATTACATCAATGTTCAGTTTCTAATTTGCATTTTCAGCTCCCAACAATATAATCAGCCGTCTCTCAACTCCCTCAAGGATTTTCCGGACAACTCTGCTCTGGAGCACACCCTCCTCATAACTAACATTGATTACACACTCGCCATCCTTCATGCTTCCGATTGCAAAATACAACATGGGTCCCACCCGTGCCTTCTGCGCTGCCACAGAGAACTCCGTACCTTTCAGCTGCCAAGGCCCAGATGATTGGCTTTCTGATTCAACCAAGCTGGACACACAAAAGGTCTTCGTGACAGCGACATCTAAAACATTGTATATTCCCGCTGCGATAGACTCATCATCTTCCCCAATAGCTGTCAATCCCAAAGCGTTCGCCACTGGAAGTGGTGTGCGATGTGTGAACATCGCAGAATCAAGGTCAGCTTTAGCCTTTTGACTTAGCTGCCATATGAGCGCAATTTGTGTATCGTTAGCTGGGGATATAGCTCCGGCTCTGCGGTACTTGCCGAGCCAGTAATTGGTCTGATGACTGGACACATAGTTGCCCATAGTGTTAGAAAACTCGGCCGGCAGGAAACGCCGCAGGTCAACTGCAAGATACGATAAGCCCATTTTTGCCGTTGGATAAACATCCGATGCAAGGGTCGCGTGAATCAGAGTTAGAATGAGGGTGGTCATTGACGTTTTATGTTCCTTGCAGGCTTTAAGTGATGCTGCGAGTTGGTACGAGCTGAGGCACATCCTTTCAACCTTGGTGACTGGCCGCTGGGCGAGAGGTACTGGGTTGTCTGTGGAGGGCAAACCCTCTTCGAACTTGACATCGTTGAAGAAAGTATAATTTTTCCGTAGGAAGACCTTGATTAAAAGAGAGGAGAGGTAGCTCAGGAGACCAATGAATAAGCTGAACTTCATGCCGAGAAGCCGAAGAAGAGCCATTGACTCAGGCTTCAGCTCATGATTTGGCACATCAAAATCATTTGGTATGTCTTCCTCTTTCCCACTCTCATGTTGCGCCCTGGTCACTTTATTAAGTGCAGCGAGTAAGCTGCGGTGGAATATCATCCCTGACCTGCCATCACAGACTGAGTGGTGAAAGATGAATAATATCTTCGAGCCATTAACCACAACTCTCCACAGCGGTTTCGTCTTATCTTCGGTATTGAACCAGGTGTCATGCTCCTCCTGCAGCAATCGAATAGACTGCTCTTTCTCAGCCGCAATATCCACAAATCTGACGCAGTCTTTGAAACAAATCTTTCTCAGACGTGCCTGCCAAGTCATTTTTCTTCCCGTCTTCTTCGTCGATGGTTGAGTCACCACAATTGTTGTCAAGACAGGATGTTCCGAAATCACCAGGGGAAGAGCCTTGTACATTATGTCCGGAGTTAGGGGCATATTGTCTGCTCGCTCATATGTCGCACAAACAATTGTGTTTGAAAAGATGCCGAGATCATGATGAATTTTGTACATGCTCTCGATGACGCCTTTCATTGATATCAGTGTTTGTTTAGGTCGAAGAAAATAGGCAACACTGACCTGCAGGACGTATGAGCTCATAACTTTGAACAGCTTGTCCAGATTCCAAGACATAATTTGCTACATTCAGATTGGATTCAGAGTTATCCATGATTGGTTTTTTTCTTCAAAAACAAAAACCCCAATGTGATGTTGAATAAGAGCAAGTTGCGATTTCGAATTGGAGTATATATCACGTGATAACCTGAGCTATAAACATAATCCAAAACACACTGACTATTTTGTAGACCCACCGCAAACTAAGGCCTTCACGTGAATCAATCATTGAGAAGGCGATATTAAATTGACGTTCTAAGCAAGATAGACCATGTATAAACCCATACCTTGGCTCTTCAAGCTGGATATGAAGGTATCGGGCAAATCAGCTGACTGTGCCAGAGATAGCTTAGCGTATCTTGGCATCAAGCAATCAAACAGTGTAGGTGGTGACACCGGAACTACTGTACCCCAGCTCACCAAATCACGGGGAGTCTCCACCTCGACTCCTTATACCTTCGTTTGTTGGATACTGTCCAAGCCCTCATGACCCTCTATGACAGACGTTGATGCCTTTCGGGATGCGGAATACATCGCTGACGTGTCCGGCATATCCTATGACGATGCGGAGCCTCCCAGGCCAACAGGCACGCTCAGCAGCCAAAATGCGCGTGTGAAGAAAGTCAAATCAACTGCCAAAGTCGCGTTCATTGATCGATTGCTGCGCGATCTCGACATATTAATTTATTGTCAACTTTCCGCCCTGTATTACATGGAGTAAATCAACCCCAAACCAATGGTCCCACCCTCTCACCGCGGCGAACCCTAACATATGTCTAGCTGCTCGATTGTCCTATTTGCAATACGTGCCATTGTCGAATTGATCTTCTTCACGCCAAAAGCACCCCCCTTCGAACCCACACGCCATCAACCGTTCGTCGGCGCCATCATTGGCAGTAACCTCATCTGCATGCTCTTTCATGCTTTCCTGATCCGTCCCGAAGCTGGCGAGGAAACGCGCGGCTACCTACATGGGGGACTGTTCATCGACTTCATCGGGCAGGCTCCCGTATCTGTTTACCGGCTTCTTTCCTTCGACCTTTTAATCCTCCTAATCGATTTCATCATGCTGGGCTTGATTATCGAGCGGGTGAAGACTAATGGAACACCCACCCCAGTGGCTGCAACGCCCAATGCAGATACACCCACAGATACAATCACAGATACAAGCCCAGATGCGGAGGGGTCCCAGTCACAAGATCATGACGCCGAAGAACGTGGTATTTTACGACAAGAGGATGGCGGTGAAACGGTTTCCCCCGCTCATGATGGTAACCATATAGACGAAGAGGTTGAAGATGAGCGCACGACGCTCTTGGCTGACCCGGCCGACGCGGAATCTGGAAGTGCTGGTCGGGGTGAGCACCCGATGGATACATTTGCGGCTGGCGAGGCTGTTATTGTCAACATGAGCTTCCTGGGTACAATTCGTGATCAGTGGCGCCACTCAAATGCGGCGGCACGGTCGACATCGGGCTTTGTGCCATCTCCCGAAACGGCAACGTTCCTTCGGCAGCGCTTTGGTCTCCAGGTTGGGACTGATGGTCGCATTGAGCGTGCGAATGCAATATGATAGAATTATGTGACTGTATATACCGCAATTTCGGAGAGGGAACAATTAAAGTATGGGCCCAAGAAAAGAACAAGGTCTCTCCTCTTATACCTTTCGATCAGAGCGTGTCTTAGGAATAAGTAGGAGTATCTTCAGATGAGGAGTGCCATTGCAGTTCTTGTGGTGGCTTCGGCGATTATCTTGGTAGTTGATACCAATCCTGTTGGCTCCAGATGGTCTTCTGATCTTCATACGAGCGTGCATGGGCTATACCCGTTTTGTTCTTGGCGGAACACGCCATTTTGGATACTACGAGCATGGCACTTGGTGGCCATTCCCACTAAGCCGTGCGCTACTTGCTATGGAGGATAAGCTGGCGGCATCGCTAGACCTTGCACCGGGCGGTTCCATTCTGACATACATAAGACACAGATGTGATGGTTGTCAGGCGAGAGTTGCCGAATAATAGTGTCTGGGCTAACCAGAGAAAAAAAACTTTTTTGAAGGAAGAGACCTCGGGAGTTGACGGCAGTTAGGGAGAAAGAAGGGAGCAGGCCAGCTTTTTAAGCCAACCGATGGGATTGGGCCTAGTCAGTGCTGGTCGCTAGTGTAATGACCAAACAACCAGAGCCTAAGGTTTTGTAGAAAAAGCGCGAGTTCCTCGGTTGATTATTGGCCAACACCTCCTTCCTATGGGCTAAACATTAGAACCTCTGGTATATACCAAAGCACCATGGACACATTGAGTATGCAATTACGCAGTAGGAGGCTTAGACTCTTCCCCAGCGCCCTCCTTTCCCTGGACTCTACGGTCCAGAATCTCATCAATAACACCCAGCTCGAGCGCCTCCTTAGCACCCATAAAGTAATCGCGCTCCATAAGCTTCTCAATCTCATCGAGAGACAACTGCTTCTTGCCAGTTAAGTGGCGTTGGTAGATCTCATTGAGCTGCCTGCGCACGCGCAGGATCTCCTTCGCGTGGATAGCGATATCGGACGCTTGTCCGAAGTAGCCGCCCGAGGGCTGGTGCACCATGATCGAGGAGTGCGGGAGACAGTAGCGCTTGCCTGCTTCGCCACCGGCGAGAAGGAGAGAGCCCATCGAGGCAGCCTGACCAACGCAGATTGTGCTCACGGGGGAGGCGATATATGTCATTGTATCGTAGATCGCGAGGCCTGTGAGAGCGTTAGTCAGAATAGCTCGGGGATAGCCGTGGGGCAGGTCCACGTACCCGCTGTTACTGAGCCTCCTGGTGAGTTGATGTAAAGGTGGATTGGTTTAGCTGGGTTATCGGCTTCGAGGAAAAGGAGTTGCGCAACTATCGAAGCGGAGAGGGTGTCGTCGACTTCGCCGTTAAGGCAGATGATGCGTTCCTAGAGGTTTGATTAGCATGGGTAGGTTGTAGAAGGAGTGTCCTCCTGGTTTCTAATTACCTTCATCAATCGAGAAAATATATCATCTGCATTGCGCGATACAGGTTAGTATGCTGATCATGTTTCGGGTCATATGCAAGCTCCGTCGACGGATGCAATTGCGCAACATACACGTGTGCCAGCCACCTCCCTGTTCAATGTAATTAATATACGCACACCAAGTACCTGCTTGCTATGGCTAATATCAAACATACCACTGTCTCTGTCACGAATGGCGTCGGTGTCCAACTCCGCGGGGGCTGCGCCAGCAAATGTCCTTGGTTCGAGAAGCATCGTGCGAATCCGGCCGGCCGGGCAATAGCAATGGGTGAGGTTTGGACAGATCGCCCTAGCTGGCGCAAAGGTATTCTTGGGGGCATCTTCAAAAATATGCAAAGGCGATTTGTAGTTGTTCCGAGTTGGAAATGCGCGCAGCCGGGAGGCTAGGGACGGTGAACCGTGACGCGATAAGAGCGGCGCTAAGATAAGGAGCTCAGGCGGACAACAGCGACAATGCCAACGACGGCCTACTTCTATTACCCTTTGTCTAGAATCGGATGATTCTAGGAGACAAGCTTTCCCTAGTATTTGAGAAGCTAATTAGGTCTTCTTACGCCCTGTAACGCGAATCGCAATCACTATTCGATCAAAAACTTCTCCGCAAATAAGGGGCTCCGATTGGCTACTGGAACAGCTCCGAGATCATCTTTTCCGCCCTCAACTGAACTCGACTCACCATCAGCTCTATTCCCCAGCCATCAAACTAATGGAGTGTGTGGGCACGCGCATCCCATACGCAAAATGGCGCCTGAGTGCGTTCCGACAACTGCTAGCGACTTCACATGCTCAGGCAGTCAATCGCGGCATCGCGACCTCGCGAAAAACCAACCAACCCAACGAAACTACGTTGGAAAAGGAAACAGACAATTCGACTCCAGAAACTGCTCCTCCTTCACAACGGCTTCCGCAGTCCCCTCTCCTTACACATCCTCGCTCTGGGATTGAGAAGAATCGCAAGAGACGCCCCACGACACAGGAGGAAGCCGACCTGCTCAAGAACCCATGGGCCTTAATGCTGGCTTCGCCGGCACGTATGTGCTCTGTAACTGGTGCACGACTTCCATCTGCCCTGCTGGGGACTTGGGGGCTTATTAGACAACCAACGTCGGACGACCTTTATATGATCCCTGTGGGTCTGCTGCAGGACTCGCTGCAAAGCAATAAGACCAAGAACCTTAGCTCATCGCCGGAGCCAACCATTCCAGACCAACAAGAAACCAAATCGATGGCGATACAAGGCCAGGAGAAGGGTCCCTTAATTGCATCACCAATTCCAAAATCCTCAGATAAGCGCACTGGACGCCAGCTCGTGATTCGCATTGCTGAGCTCCTTCCACTTATTCGATCTATTTCAGTGCCACTCTCCAGGAAGGGTGGAAAAAGACCAGCCATTATGCGACTGTTGCCGTTCCGGTGGAAGCATCCCCAGGGGCCTGTGAAGGCGAATGATGAGAAAAGAATTGTTTGGTCGAAGGATACGCCGAAATTAATGTTGCGCAGTATGAGAGATGTCGTTGTCAAGAAGCTGAGTGCAGTCCTCGAGAAATACAAGCGCGTCGACACCTCCAATGGGGTCTGGAAGGCCCTGGATCTACCCGAGTACTCGGATGCTGCGCTGAAGGAGGCTCTAGGAAGCCTGGAGCCATTTGAACGTATGGAATGTGGTGCAGTCCTGCTTCTTGGCTCACAGAATTCCGCGGCTGCTGATCATGGGTCTCAATCGAGTAGCTCTTTGGACTCCGTGGCTCTCACGCAAACTGGGTCGAAGGTTCCTGTGTTTGATCTGTCAGTGCTTCTTTCAGAGTCTGACATCAACAAACTCCGTGAATCCCACGGTCAGTTCCAACACACTGCACTGTTCTTCAGACCAGAGGAGCAGCTCGGTATTGACGCGATGATATCCCTCTGGAAGATTAAACGGCTTTTGAATGGTGTTGATCCGATAGAGCAATGAAATCGCCGCATGATTGAATAATAAAGTGATCCATACTCATTCGTTCTACCCTGGTGTCATGAGAACTATATAAATATATCAGCTCACAGTTAGGGATCATCTGAATTTAAGTCACATGCATAGCTTCGGGCAAAATGAAAGAAAAGTGCAGCCTAACAACTACACAAGGCACAGATGAAGGTCGCCGTTCTGATAGAATGAGGTTCTACAAAGGAGTTTCTTCTTTCGCCCACAGAAAGTGAGGGTAATAACTCAGTATATACCAAATCGGAAGGTATATCAGATGTAACAATTCCTTCCAATTCTTAGCGGGCTGCCTCAAAATGTAATTATCTGCTAGAACCACAATGTCTAATCGAGCGGCGGCATTCTTATACGCTCTCTAGAGAGCACGTAAGTCAATCCCATTCGTGGGTCTAGTTGGATCACCTCAAACACTTTCATCAGAAAAGCGACGAGCTCATGGTAGCCTCGCGAAGAGTATTGTGAATAGGCATTTTTTGCCGAACTCGACATTTCGATTATCGGAATGAGTGTACTGCTTGCTGCGTCCTGGGAGCTATGCCAACCATTCATAGATGAACAAGTGGATCAGTGGAGTCCTAGCCGTAGATATCGGGGACTATTCGATAGTGATGAGGGTTGAAAAAAGGTCTTGGCCGGATTCACAACAAAACAGACACAAATCCCAAGAGAAAAACCAACAGAAAGCAATCAAAACAAAGCCAAGACCAAACCATAGTACTATTTGAGTAGTAGGTGTTGAGTGCCAGTTCCTTTTGGAAGAAAGAAGTACAGTCAATTCGGGGTTCTAAGTACAAGGCTGGAAAAGGAAAAGAGAAAACAATCTACGGCCGCGACTGGGTTCTATGCACTTCCTGGCGACCTCGCTGAAAACCATGCAAACCTTGACTTCGCTTTCGGTTTAAGAAGGAACGACCCGGTGCGAGGTCGAGGTTCCAGGTTTGGCAGGCACAATTGTGAGGGGTGGAAGTGGACTTGGCACAATCTGCCAGCATGAGTGTCGGAAATTTGTCCAATTGCTGGTAGGTGTTTAACACCTGCTCATGAGGCGACGAACAGTTGCAACTACACCTACACAGTAGGGCGGTACGGACACAACATGTGGGATCCGCCCCATCTTCCCCCTCACAGACCCTATCCCAACTCTTGAAGATTTTATATGAAAAACACAATTCCTCCTTTTATTCAGGTCATGCCAAGCAGCTGTACGAAGATTTGAACTGATCTTTCGCCAGGGCCTTGGTGAAATCAGCAATGTTCTGCTTGGTGTCCACGCGGAGAATGTTGATTTGTCCTTGTGCAACTGCGTTCTCAATGAAAAAGTAACGCAGCGCCATCCATCTGTTAGCTGCCCTTCTACCTTTGTTGGAGAGTAGAAGTTGCGAGTTTATGTTGTCCGTAACGATCGTAGGGTCAGGTCAGGTCTTCCGGCACGTGAGGCAGCGGAGGCCCCCAGAACTCCACCCGAGTCTTGGAGTTTCCAAGGTTGGTGGCCTTTGACAGTCAACCCTCCAAAGGAACGCGAGACTTTGGGAAGATCTGACGGCATCGCTGCTCAACCCAAAACAATGTATCTAGGCCACCCATTGACTTCTCATCAATTATAGTTAATGAAAAGTGAAGACCTATGTCACCAGGGGCGTCGGTGGAATTATCCACGTTCTTCAAGCTCTCGCCCTTTCCACTGTCAAAATTTGCCTCATATTAGCATTCTATTGTAATAGACATAGCGTGAGTACTCAAACTTACCGAATGTGTTAAGTGCTCATATGATTTATATCAATGTATTTTTAGTCGTATAAGCTTTCGGCTTCACTTTCTGTAATGGAATCTCGACGGAGCGGATAATGTATGGTTGTTTGGAGTTGGGTTTCGTCACTTGGCCCATTATAGGGCCCTAGCTGGGTCCCAGATCCCGAGCCAGGACCCGCGGAAGTGTAAATCGGTGAGGTGGGTGCTCGTTCTCGCTAACATTCGTGTGGGGGAATACCAACACGGGAATCCAGGGGGATTATATGAGGGCGATTGGCGGTATATTGATATTATCATCTCGAGCTTGTTGGGATGCGTGAATTGCAACAGCCTATTTATGATAGGAGCGATTGTCCTGGTCAGCCCAATGGCAGTTTCCACAGGCTTCTAGACCAAGGCCCCGGACAGCGACGCAGTGGGAAGATGGTCCCTCATCACGCAAGCAGCAGTGCTTTGATAGCCCATGACTTGCATCAACACTGCTTTGGCATGGACCAAGGGTGTGTTGAGAAGCGCCAGAAGCGTGGGTGGTCTATTGGCGCCCTATCCAGAGTTGACGTTCACGCTCTGTAGGGCAAGGAGGAGGGCCTAATGGCCTCTCATTTTGCATTCAACTTTAAGTCATTTCTCACTCACCCATAAGGCCAATATATATACGTAGATGGATGAGATTTCAGCCAACACATAATAAAAAGGTTGACGATAGGTACTTGCAAGAGGGAAGGGTAGGAAGTTGATTGAAAGGGACCATGGGTTGTTAGCTAGCAAAGAGAGAGGGAAGAGGAAGGAAGATCAAACAAGATAGGGGGGAGGTCTTATCAACCTGAGGCAGAAACGGTCTCAATAGAAGTGAAAGAGAAAGAGCAACCCAATGACAGTCGTTGACTTGTCAGAAGCAGCTATATATCTGAACCTCAAGGTGCATTGGGTTCGATCTCAGAATGTCATTTATACATACCCCACCAGATTTTGCTCGCCTTGTGTAATTAAGTGCTTTCTCCTTGCTCAAACGAGCTCTTAGCTTCTATATCAATTCCTATTTCTTGTATTGAGCACCTCGCTGGCATCACTGATCATCCACAACGGGGCGGCTACCACCACAGCTCGTCATATCCAAATCCCATGCGCACTCGTCGAGAAACTCTTCCTGATCTTTACCACAACCCTCATATCTCAAGGCCTTCACACCACCAACTATAGCCACGCCTCTGGGTGCCTGGCTAAAAGTGCACAGCACGCTTTGTGACCTCGATCATTCTCAATATCTTACCATCTCGCATTAAGCTGCTTTACACCATTTTATCACCGCCCCTCATGCTTTCGCTGCCAATTATGCAGTTCCCCGGTCTCCATGCGATGTAACTCCGTACAAGACCAGAGACGGCTTGGCAAACCGAGTAAGGCAAATGCTATCCGTAGACCTACCACGCATTTCTCGGCTAGTAGTATTGCAGGTGGCTTGCTTGAACCCTCAAGTCAATGGCCATTTCAGAATGACAGACTTTCAGGGACGATTTGAAGTTTGGGGGCTTAGCCTTTGTGTCAACTTTCAGGTCAGCTCGGGGGATAGTTACTCCGGCTTATATGTATATATATAGCATCGGCTATCAACCAATTCAACGCGAACACAACCTTAATCCCAGTATTTCCCACCCCTCATCAAAATGTCTGGATGGGTGATAGCTGCTATGGACGCACTCAACTATGTGGGTGCAGTAAGCTTCACACCCGAAAGCGATATCCCAGATCTGACCGGGAAGGTCATCTTGGTCACAGGCGGTGGGTTAAACCGTATATCAACGGCACATTAATACCGCATCTAACACGATGCACGTTCACAGGAAATGCAGGTTTGGGCAAAGAAACAGTCCTCCAGCTGGCCAAGCACAATCCGAAGAAGATCTTCCTCGGCGCGCGTTCGAAAGTCAAGGCAGAAGAAGCCATCAAGTCGGTTAAATCATCCGTTCCAAATGATGTCGAGATTAGCTGGATACCGTTGGACTTGATGTCAAGTAAATCGATCAAGAACGCAGCGGAACAAGTCAACGCCCAGTCGACCCGTCTCGACGTCCTAATCCTCAATGCTGGCGTGATGGCTCTGCCTCCCGGTGAGACGGAAATGGGCCATGAAATCCAGCTTGGCACTAACCATACCGGGCACTTCTATCTCACCAAATTGCTGCTGCCGACACTGCTCAAAACGGCCGAGGAGCCTGGCTCGGACGTCCGCGTCGTGTCGCTCACTTCCGTGGGGCATAATTTCGCGCCGGCATTTGAGAAAATCCTGGACCAAGAGAAGCTCAAGAAGGTCAACACAAGTTCCCGGTACGGAGCGTCGAAGGCTGCCAATATTCTCTTCGCTGCGGAACTCAGCAGGCGGTATCCGTCGATAACGTCGGTGTCGGTTCATCCAGGTATTATCATAACGAATTTGTATGACGCTCTGAATTCGTCTTCTATATTTGCTGCTTTGGGTACCAAGTTTTTGCGTTTGTTTGGTTCCACAGTGCAACAGGGCGCGTGTAACTCGCTGTGGGCTGCTGTTGGTGCGAAGAAGGAGGAGCTCACTAATGGAGGATATTATGTGCCTGTTGGAATTTTGAAACGTCGAAACATTTGGGCGTGCAATGAGGATATGGGGAAGCGCTTATGGGATTGGACTGAGTTGGAGCTCACCAAGGCCAATCTGTGATAAGATTTGTATTTATCTCTTCGTAGGCTGGTACATGATTTCAGCCAAGATTGCCATTTATTTAGTTGATAACAAAGTCTCAATGTCGGGAAATTTTGATGCAAAAAATGAGTTTTGCGACCATAGGAGGGTTGAAGTGAAATAACGGTCCCGATGCCAACTTCCCGGATCAAATATCCCTCCGATGCCGTGCGGAGGCTGAGATTCTTCAACATACCGCGGCTCTCAATCAATTTGTTTTCGATAACAGGTTGTAGAGATTGAATTAACATGGAATCTTCGAGTTACTACTATCGAGTATTCAAAATCAGTGGTATTGCGGGAAGGTTTGCCGCGATATCGGCAAACCTTCTAGGTGCGGTCCACGGTGGATACGTCACACGTGAGCCTTGGATCCTTATTTTGCTACCCATGGATATCATCTATTCACTCAACGTAAAATTCACCACAACTCTTCAAGTGCTAGGTATACTAGGTGTCAATGACTTGGCCAGATCACTGTACGGGACTGACTTAATATTGACTAGACATTCCACTGCGTGATGCAACAGACCTTTCTGAAGTAAATCCTAATCCGTCACTATACGAAGGGGATTCCAATCGCTATATATGTACGGTGTACTCTGTACTTCCTCATACGAAGTACAATCTCTGTATGTATGATGTCAGCCTTCGCTCTGTATTGTATTCCGTGCATCGCAGATCGTAGACAGGGGAAAGGGGCTGGGACTATCAGGGGCTGGTTAATAGGAGGCTGTTCGGGCTGATCATTGAGTTAAAAAAGATGGCTGTGAAGTCTAGCTAATATGATGAGTGACGATCATGAATTTGTATGAGGGACTATTATGAACTCCGTACGAATCACAAGATACCCCTTGAGATATGAGTGCTTATATTGATTTTGGCTGCGCGTGCTCTGTACTATAGATGACGGGATTTGCGGGCCAAATTATGGATATTCTGTCTATCAAAAGCTGTAGAATTCTCCGAGAGATTAATTACTTACAGTATGATTGCACATGTTATTCGACAACTCTTGGTGGTTCACCTCGATCACCTTGTACTAATCCGATGTCTCATACTTTGAGCCACTCGAACACCGCGTAAGACTTCAAGAATAGCAATAAAATCTGATATCCTCATAACAAGGTTAAAGCTATGATATATATAGTACAGAGTCTCCGTGCTCTCTTCACAATGACTTACTCACAACGGAGTATTATTAGTGTCAATGGGCTGATGCTCATAAGGCTCGAGCTTTACCCAGTCAGCCTCAGCCACAGTCCTCTGTGGAAGCTACTACAACATGCTAGGTAGAACTAGTATTGTCGTATATCTATTTTGACATAATATTGACGCAATAAAACGCATTCCATAAAACAGCAGTGAGAATTAGCTTCTTGTACAACGAGTGGCCACGTGGGTGAACTAGTCCTTGACATCGAAATATTCCAATTATTGTCCAATAGCGTCGGAATGTCAGCTGGATTCGCCATGTCTTAGCGGCATCTATGCTGTACAACTAAACCAAGACAGAGCGGGGCAGCATTCATTTTGAAGATCAGGTGGTCGTTTATGTCGGTTGTTAATATATTTCGACTAAATATTGATTTTTTGAATATAAATTAGTTACCGGTGTGAAGTATGGATTACTCACAATCAATATTGAAGGCTTTGTATTGCGGGGCCTTGGGGGATCTGGCATGATTTAGCGCCTTTTAAGGCATCCATACATTCGGATCCTTGACATGTTAGTCTAATACGAGGCGATTTCAAAAAGAACGATTGTAATTGCAATTCGAAATTGCTACCAAGGGATCGCAGATCACTGCTGGTTGGTGGCTGGCCTCATGTGCGAGATTGCTGGTTAGGTAGGTGATTGCAATTTGCGGAGTACGGAGTACTCCGTAGGTGCTCTGTCTATCACTGTCATGCTTCCTGTACATCAGATGCATGGAATTGCATGAACCAGCCTCGGAAGTCCGAAGATATGTGTCGATCCGACCGAGATCACTGTTTGATAGATCCATGACTTGGATGTACACTATCAACTCGAGGTAAAATTGAAAGAGATAGAAATGAATAACGATGATCTTCTTTGACCTTCTATTGTGGGTTAGACAGGCGGAGAAGTACGCGTTAACAGTTAAGAACTTTGTTTTACCGAGAGCACCCCACTGCACTATATTGCAATATGGATAGCCTTGACAATATCTCTCGTACGTTGTGACTGTGTTTTTTGTGTTCAAATTGCAGGACGTGGCTATTGCAAGCGTAAAAAGATGAAGCCAATAGAGCCGAAATGTTGTACACCATAGCTAGGGTAGAAATACAATGCATAATAAAGTGGCCCTAATAGGGATTGAATAGGATCAATTGAGATCATCGACGGAGTACCCCTCCATGATTTCCCCGTAAGAAATTTATGTGAAAGAAAGAAAAATCCGTTTTTGAGTGAGAATGCCTGAGGAAGCAGGCCACAATCAGCCACCAGCGCCTCGTCGGTTATTTGAGCATTTCGATGCAACCCGACATTACCTCGCCTCTTTGTCTGATGTTGAATAGACAGGTCCCACATCCTTATCATTTTCCAGTCCAAATGTGATCAGGTCATAAAGTGCTTGATGCATACTCGTCACATGCAATGAACCCCTGGAAGCTCCCGCGGACACGGGTGAACCGTTCAGGTACCAGGGGAAAAACTCAGGAACACAGCACACAACCAACCAGAATTCAAATGTCCAACGTCTCTCGTCACTAATCAGCCATTCAGAAAGGGCCAGAAAAGGAGTCCAAAGGACAAACTTCGCCATCGGAGTCCCACATGGATGATCCCAGCCCAATCACCAGCCCACGAACGGGGTGATGAACGCCAATGAACGCCGTCATCACCTCGGAAGGCTAACTAAGTTCGCCCACAGGGGCTTAATGCTGTCTGAAACAGACCAATCGCCCCATAACCAGGCGGCCGGGTCCCTTTTCGGACGGTGTTTCAGCCCTTACAGGTGTACGGTGCTCGACTGCGCAAGGTCCAACGCCCGCTATTGGACCACTTTTACAGCCACATTCGAACGTAATTCGAGTCCGCTGTGGACCTCAACTGATCACTCTACCGAATGAGAATGGCAGGGTAAAGGGCACAGATCTATCTCGTGAGTACATATAAGTTCATTCCCCTCCTCTTTTCTTTCTTTCGATCGTGCAAGCAGGGCTTCTTCCACAGTTCATTACTGTTTCTTTGTCGCTTCAATTTCGTCGTCTCCCCCTCATTCCCTCATTCCCTCTATCAAAATGTTCTTTCCTTCATTGGTATGTCTATACTTCGAACCAGTGGTCGAGTGCGGCATGGTCCACAGCTCCACCTCCAACCATGCGACCATGACTAATTTCGCAATAGATCCTGGCTGCTGGCAGCCTTTCCACTCTCATTCAGGCCATTCCCCATGGCGCGAAGCCCCATCACAACTTGCACCGTCGCGCCGCTGCTACCTATGCTGTCATGGGTGGTAACGGCGATGTCTCCGACGGATGGCCTTCCCTGAGCCAATGGTCGGAGTACGACACTCTGTGAGTAGATCAACCTGAAATATATAAGCAGAATGGCGAGCTAACCGTTTTTCTAGCTGGTCTCTCAACCAAATTCTCATTGCCGCATCATGCGACAACTCTGACGACGAAACAAGCGACATAAACACTAGCATTAAGTCACTCGCCAGCGAGACTGGCGTCGACGCTCGATTCATCCTTGCAATTGTTATGCAAGAAAGCAAGGGCTGCGTTCGCGTGCAGTCCACCGACAACGGCGTTCTGAACACCGGTCTCATGCAAAGCCACGCAGGCGAGGGCACCTGCAATACGGACGGCAGCTTGACAACTCCCTGCCCCGCCTCCACCATCAAGCAAATGATCACCGACGGCACCGCTGGAACCGCCTCGGGCGATGGTCTCAAGCAGTGCTTTGAGGCTCAGTCCGGCGCCACTGCGACCAAGTACTACAAGGCCGCGCGCACCTACAACTCTGGCTCCATCGACTCATCCGGCAACCTCGGCGCGGGCGGCGCAACCCACTGCTACGCCTCTGATATCGCCAACCGTGTCCGAGGTTGGGCCGGCGATGTGAGCGAGTGTGTTGAATCTACCATTGCATCCATCACTAGCGGCGCAGAGTCGCTCCTCAGTGGTGACGACGACTCGAGCAGCTCCTCCACCACAGAGGCTGCGGAGACTACCCAAACTTCTTCCTCCACTGTTGCTGAGCAGACCACCTCGACTGCCGAGCCTATTCAAACATCCACTTCTGTCGAAGCCGCCCAGCCAACCGAGACATCGTCCGCCGCATCCTCCGCGACCACCTCCGTGGAATCTGCCGCCACCTGGGCCTCCACAGTGAACGTGCGTGTCGCCACGCAGACCGCCACCGCCACCCCATCCTGGACAACCAAGTCCGCGCCAGCCGCGACATCTTCAGCAGCAGCCACTAGCTCATCATCCTCAACAGCCCCTATCTACCCATACGCCACCTCGTCATGCCAGAAGTACTACACCATCACGGAAGGTGACTTCTGCGCAAAATTGACCGATGCATACGGAATCTCCTTCGAGGAACTCCGCAGCATTAACACTGGCCTCGACGAGAACTGTTCTGATCTGTGGCTCGGATATCAGTATTGTGTTAAGGCTTAAGTTCCAGCCTCTGATATACTTTTGGATATATACTTCTCCTTTACTGATTCCCACGGATTCCCATGAGCTTTTGGATCTGCTTTGTGATCTACTTTTGTCATTTTTTTTCACTCTTTAAGGCGGTGCCTTAGCATGAGCTTGCTCTGCAAAACATGACCGTGGGTGATGCTGGCACCTGCCCACGGTCTATTTACGACGGATGACGCCAGCGACTTCAATTAACAATTTTGGACTTTCCACTTTTCTTGACCTTTTTAGAGTATGCGTAGATTACAAAATGCCTCATTGGCTGGCTTAATTATAAATGGATAGATAAACCTAGTAACTAACTAATGATGCTAGTATTTCAAAACTCCCCATCTGCCAATTGAGATTCCTTATCAGATTGGCACATGTGGCTTAATCCTAGGGATTAATTAGATACAAAGCAAGACAAAGAGCAACAATGCATAGTAAATCTGGAATGTATCGGATAATTCAACAAAGCTATTTAGTGTTTGAATGAAAGGTCAATGTCTCTTACTAGAGGTCCGAAATGAAAGAATATGATATCATGGCTGTCTCCATTCTTCTATATAAACAAGTATAAGCCCCTGTACCTGTTCATAATCAGCCATTTTATTCAGCAATTTAATAACTAACCCAACAGCCAGCAGATTCCGAAAACCCTCAATATGATGCAACCAGGTATGTTTAGGTATAAATTTGGAGGACCGGGTCTCCCCGAGTATGAGATGAGCGACTATGAATGCGTCTACTTCGTGACAGTGCATTTCGACGAGAGATATAGGAAGTATTCCAGCGAAAGGCTGATGAAAAGTATGATCTGTCGAATCAAGAATGGGCACGCGGAGGTCAGCCTTAGGCCTCTCCATCGCCTCACTCCGCGGTGCATCTCGATGCCAGTCTATGGACCATATGATGCCCCTAGTACTGTTGTACTTGCAACTGCTAGAGTAGTTGCTGAGGCGCGTTTGAATGAGATTCATCAAGGATTTGTGGAGATCGATATGGATTTGGTTTTTGGTGTGAATAAGTAATTGCTTGGATTATTTTAGATGAATAGAATCTCTAGCTGTTCTGCTATACTATATACCCTGACACATCTAGTAGAAAGCCAGTGGCAAGTGACAAAGAATAATCATTTCAACTGAAGTTCTCCCCCCTCCACAGCCAGTCGAATAACCTCCTTATTCAATCCCTCCCAGCGAGTCCGACCCTTGATAAACCAATATACAAAAGCGAACAAGGTAGTGATACCAAAAATGGGTGCCGCATAATTCATGTTCTCACCAGTAACCGGCAACGCTGACGGAAATGCTAGCCACACTGTAACCCAGGCAGTATACGCCAAAGCAAAGACATTAACTGGAAGTCCCCAGATGCCCATATTCCAGTTCCCAAGCGGTGCCACATGCTTCTGAAACCGATTATGCACCATGCAACTAATAGCAATAAAATATGACACGAAGAGGCCAATCGACCCCAGTGCAACGAACGCCCCAAAAGCGGCACCGTCAGCGATGTTCAAACACGCGAGGATCATGACGACGATTACTGGGAGCCAAACAGCGCGAATTGGCACGTTGTGCTTGCGGTCGATCTGCCGTTCTTGTCAGCTTATATATTCTGCGTCGTCTTCCGTGGCACCGTCTGGTGCGAGATACATACATAGCTAAACCACTGCGGCAGGGCCCCATCACGAGCCCACGCCCACGTCAATCGCGAGACAGACGCGATACTCGCCAGATTTACCGACAGCGAGATTACGAGTAGCCCGCTGACCATCGCAGTGGCTGCTTTCACCGACCCCGTTGCTTGCCGGCAGATCTCGATTATCGGAAAGCTTGATTTCTGGGCTTCCTCCACAGAGCCCATCGTGAAGAGCATGCAGACAACCATTGCATATGCCAGGATACCGTTGGCAACGACGGTATAGAAGATAGACCTAGGAACGGCTTGTTTTGCTCGACGGACTTCTTCACTCATATGTACTGCGCCGTCAAATCCTGCGATGGTTAGCTTTCAGTCTTTACCTGCTCCAAGTATTCAGTGTGTACGCACCAACAAACCCCCAGACAGGAGTAAGCAGACCTATATTCCATGCGGGGAAAGTCGCCCAGCCCGAGGCGCTTTGCGTGTGTAGAAAGACAAACTCCGGCGTGTGACGAGGTGCTAGAGCCGTGAATACAACCAGAAACACGATCAAAAGGCAAATGTGCAGAATACCGGCCAGCATCTCGATCCACGGAATCAGCCAAAATGTATACATGTTCATCAACGCTTCGACAATAAGCATGCCAATAATGATGAGGGTTATGTGCCATTGCTTTGGTTCGTACTCGGGGTAGTTCACACTTGCTAGGCCCTGAATCATCGTAGCAGTGGTGTTGGCAACACCGGCGAGTGTGGAGATCCACGCAAACCACGTCACCCAACCTATATGAAGTTAGCATTGAGTCAGGCAGTACTCGATAAGTGACACACCCTGCATCCAAGTGATGAACTTCTTCTGGCTTGTCGGTGCCAAGTAATGTGTCCAGTGATACTGAGCCCCGGCAATTGGTTGCATCGATGCCATCTCGGCTAGCGAGGCTGATTGAGCCATTGCGCCGAATACCACAATTACTATACCCCAAGCTAGGGCTTCAGGTCCGCCATTTGAGAGCACTGTGCTCAGATTCCTAAGTCGTGGCGGTGTTATTAGTACTGAAGCACAACAAGGGATAAGACTTCCGTACAAAGCCTGAGTTTCCCAGCTCGACAAGTAAGTAAGTGAGAAGAAGAATATCTGGGTGAAATTAAAAAGACGCTGTATACTGTCTCAGCTGGCAGACTTTATTGACTTAACAAATCGTATCGTACCTTAGGCGAAGCCTGCTCCGGGGGTCCAGTCTTTTTACGCGGGGTGTCATAGGCATTGGAGACATTTGCATCTTGATCTGGCGCGGCTTTTCCAATGACTATATTTCCCCTTTCCAAGGAGAGCATCTCAAGGCGCTCCATTTATTCTCGGCAGAGTAAATAAGGCAGTTGATGGCGGAAAACAAAAACATTAGACAGTTCCCAAGGAAGACTGGGGAAAGAAAAAGCAAAACTGGCACGGAGGTCATGAATCCAAGAACAAGGATCATACAGAATCGTTGTCTTACGGTAAATTGTTCTTGTCTTGCCTGGGGGTATCGGCGTTGGAGGTGGGACTGGAAGATGCACGGTTGTGGAACTTGAGATAGACTGATCAGTTGCAAGACTTGAATTATCGTGCTTGTGTGTCTTTGGTGTTATAGGAGGTCCAATGAACAACCCAATATGAGGGTACTCGGTCAGTGGCTGGGTTCTATATCATATAATGTCTCTTCTGCTATGCCATGAACATGATTCTGTTCATTTATGTCTACAGAATCTTTCGACTGCCATGTCATCCAACATAAATGTTCTCCTACTGCCACTCTTGCCTGTCACTGATAACGATCATAGTGCTTGGGTTATCACCGTGAGCACTATCCTACTTATTATCACTATCCTCGCGACAACAGTGACGGTGATATCTCGCATTCGTGTTTTGCGCAGAGTTTCCTGGAGCGATTCAACTCTATTTCTCAGTTGTGTAAGTAGCTTTGCGTTTAATCATTGTCTAGTCTAATTAATTCACCAGATCATATTTATCCCTCAGACTGTGTGTGTGAATGTAGCCAGCTCGCATGGCATTGGCAAGCATCGATATGTATTGAGCAATGCCTCGTTTGAAAAATATAGCAAGGTAAGAAGGCTAAGAAACCTCTAACAGGCTATGCTCTAACATAATCAAGACATTCTTCGCTAGTCAACTTCTCGCTATTGTCGTCTTAGGATGTTCCAAGGCAGCTGTTGCGCTCCTCATCCTATCCTTGCAACCCTTTGAGAAAATAACGCTTGCAAGTAGGGTTGCTTTAGGTCTGATCAGTACCTGGGCTCTGGCAACACTCATAGCGCTCGGAAGACAGTGCAAGCAACTACAACCGTGGAACTCCAGCCCCGAGCGATGCGTGAATCAAGAAGTTTTATATATCGCGCTAGGAGGGACCCACATGTTATTAGACGTGGTAATAATTGTACTACCAGTGGTTTTACTACATCAAGTGCAGATAATACGGTGGAAGCGCCACCAAATCTCTGCCCTTTTTGCGCTGCGGATCCTGTAAGTGAACCTCCAAACATCAATAAAATCCTCATCTAATCCCACATAGAGTTCTAGCCCTGACCATTGCCGGCCTACACTCCCTCCGACCACTATATAACTCCAACCATCTAGATGAAACATGGAATGCCCTCATGCCAGCCATCTGGCTACAATTAATCCTCAGCTCTTCCATTCTCTGCACATGCCTCCCAACCCTCAAACGGGTTATCGCCGAGCTTCAGACAGGCATGATGGCTGGTGTAGTCTCGGATTTCTTTGAACAATCCATCTCGGGTCACACCAACTCGGGAGATCGATCAGCTTCCAAGTCTGACAATGCCATTGGGCAGCGATCGGGATCAGGGTCGGCGTCCCACTCCCAAATTCCAAGAGAATTGTTCGATTTCGAGCATGGGGACAGTCAAAAGAAAATGTGCGAAATCCCTTTTGTGCAACCGATCAACTATGAGGCTTTTTACGAAGATCCTGGTTCTTCTAGGGCTTCATCTTCCCATAACCGTGGAAGCGATAATCTGCGCGTGTGTTCACATGGTGGAATCTAAAGGTAATTGGTGACTTACTGTCGTAGATATGTCTACTTATTTTGAGGGTGCATGAATATATACTTAATTAGATTATGTTGCCATATTTATTTTGAGCATTCTGGTGTCAACCTATACAGTAGATATATCGATATATAAATCTCTTCTGAATATATTATATCCCATCTAATTGCCGCTGTAGATTATAAAAGGAACCTTCACAGTCTCATAGCAAAGGCAGCCTGTATCTCAACGTTGGCATCGGGCACGAAAGACGCATCATCTATCAACGAACTCTCAGGAACAGCGAACCGGCCGACATTGACGGGTTCAGAAATATGTCCTAGAGAATTCGGCATGTATAATTCTGAACACTTCTTGAGCTCAAATACACCTTGACCAGTTCAAACTCGTCGCACATTGGATGGAGACGGCGTTGGAAAATATATGCCTCGAGCGTCTGCCTATATGTGGTTCCGATGCGAGTTCTGTGGTGAGATAGATCAATAGAGAATACATAAGTATGTCTTTAAACATATTATCCTAGGAACTGATCAAATACATTAATTCTGAATGATTCGTAGTGAGTAATGTTGGCTCACAAAGGATGGGGACTTGGCGGGGCAATGTTTATATCTCCCCTCGACAGGAACAGAAGAGTAAAAACAAGAGACGTTGCACAAAACTAATAACAATGACGGACAACGTTCTCGATATATTAGGCCAAACTCCAAGCCTCTACAAATTGTACACACAAATATGTTTCATTTACCCCGTCCCCGAGGCATCTTCTCATGATGCCATCATCGATACTCTCACAAACGGACTTGACCGATTGGCAAAAAGTTTCCCATGGCTTACTGGCCAGGTTGTCAACGAGGGCGCAGGGGATGGTAATACGGGCGTCTTCAAAATAACTCCTCTCGACAAAATCCAGCTCGTGGTGAAAGATCTAAGGCATGACCCCTCCGCGCCGACAATGGACGGGCTTCGCCAGGCCAAGTTCCCTTTTACCATGCTCGACGAGAAAGTCATTGCTCCTTGTACAACTTTGGACCTACCGGGCAATTTGCCAAATATCACGACGGAGTCAGCATTGGTCTTCTGTGTCCAGGCGAATTTAATCGAGGGCGGTTTGATGCTCACGCTGGTCGCTCAGCATAATGTCATGGACATGACTGGCCAAGACTCTATCATCGGATTGCTGTCCAAGGCTTGCCACCATGAGCCGTTCACAAGCGAGGAGCTTGCAGTCGGTAACATGGATCGGAGTCATGTCATTCCATTACTGGATGATTCGTACACCCCGGGCCCTGAGCTTGCTCGCCAGATTGTGAAACCCCCGCCAAGCGTCGAAACTATCGTCTCGAATCCTATTACACCTCCAAAATCTACATGGGCCTATATTGAATTCTCTGCGGCCCAGCTTGGCTCCCTCAAGGCTCTCGCTACCAATACATTGCCCGCCTCCACGGACTTTATCTCTACTGACGATGCTGTTAACGCTTTTATCTGGAAATTCATTGCCCGCGCCCGGGCTTCTCGTCTGGAAGCGACTTCTGAATCGATGCTTACGCGTGCTGTCGACATGAGACAGCGCTTTGGTATTCCCCAGGACTATCCAGGTCTCCTGCAGAATTTAACATACAACACCGATACTGTCCAAAAACTCCTCGAAAAGCCTCTAGGCATCGTTGCCGCCGAGCTTCGTTCCCAGCTCGATTCCAAGAAAAATGATCTTATTTTCAATACCCGTGCCCTCGCTACAGTTCTCAGTCGCTCGGTTGACAAGACCAAGGCCTCTCTTACTTCCACGGTCAATGTTTCCTCGGATGTTATGCTTAGTTCGTGGTCGAGGATTAGCTGTTACGATCTCGACTTCAATCTAGGATTGGGTAAGCCTGAAGCTGTGCGAAGACCACATTTTACCCCCTTTGAGGGCTTGGGATACTTGATGCCTCGATCGGCCGGTGGTGAGATGCCTGTTGGTATCTGTCTGAGAGACGAAGATTGGGAACGGTTAAAGGTAGATGGGGAGTTTACGAAGTACGCTAAGTATATTGGGTAATAGATGTTGAAATGATCTGAATAATGATCAAATACTCTTTAATATATCCATGACTATATCCAGGTACAAAAGTTGAGGGTATACCGTAACATCCGTGGATCGCCGTCTCCGCATGCCGTCATGTCTCCGCATTTGGGAACTCGAGGGAATCTCCTTCCTTCACCTCTCACCCTCTCTGTTATAAACAACTTAGGTCTTCGTTCAATCATATTACAGCATACGTACTTCTTTTTCTTCTTTATAACAATCAAAATCCGTCATCATGGGTGGGGAAGTTCCCTCTCGCCCCGCTCCTCCAGCTTTACCCCAGTTAGCTGAACGTCCGGTCGGCCAACGTATCAAGAAGATCTATACCGATAGATTGAATCAGTTCACGTCGAACGGCCAGTACGAAGGCCAAAACCTTGTCTCAAAGTACCACGAAGCCACAAACTCGGACGAAGATCATGTCAAGCTCTCTGTTTACTCGGTTCCGGACCTGCAGCGACCGACCTTCAAAGAGGCGACCTCTCAGGAATTCAAGCCCACTCGCATAGGCGCCTCCTTTGGCCCCAGTTGGTCCACACATTGGTTCCGGATTCACCTCACAGTGCCCGAGGACATGCTCCAACGGGAGCATCTAGAGTTCCACTGGGATGCCAACAACGAAGGCCTGATCTGGACAGAGGACGGACACCCGCTGCAGGGCTTGACTGGAGGCGGAGAACGGACCGAGTTTGTTCTCCCAAAACAATGGTGCGATGGGAAAGAGCATACCTTCTACATTGAAATGGCTTGCAATGGCATGTTCGGCAATGCTCCTGGTGGCGATTCGATCCAGCCACCAAATCCCGATAAACAGTTCACGCTCAGCACTGCGCGAATCACCGCGGTAAACCTGGCTGCCCGGGCGCTTTTCTATGATTTCTGGATTATTGGTGACGCCGCCCGGGAATTCCCAGGGGATTCATGGGAGTCGCATGAAGCCAATGTTGTGGCCAATTCTATCATCGATACTTTCATTGCGGGCAACGGAAGCAATGATTCTATCAACGAGGGGCGGAAGGTTGCTAGAAAGTACCTTGGCGACAAAGTAGACTCATCCGATGTTTACGACACAGACACGCAGCCGATAGTTTATGCCATTGGCCATTGTCATATTGATACTTGCTGGCTGTGGCCTTGGGCTGAGACCAAGCGAAAGGTAGCACGGTCATGGTCTAACCAATGTGATCTGATGGAACGATATCCTGAGCACCGTTTTGCTTGTTCTCAGGCTCAACAATTCAAATGGCTCAAGCAGTACTACCCATCCGTTTTTGATCGTGTGAAGCGCTGGGTAAGGAAGGGCAACTTCCAGCCCATCGGTGGGAGCTGGGTCGAGCACGATACAAATATGCCAAGTGGAGAGTCGCTGGTCAGACAGTTCTTGTATGGACAGCGATTCTTCGAGGCAAACTTCGGTAAGCGATGCACAACTTTCTGGTTGCCAGATACGTTCGGGTACTCTACACAGATCCCTCAGATATGCCGCCTGGCTGGGATGAGCCGTTTCTTCACCCAGAAGCTCAGCTGGAACAACATCAATAACTTCCCTCACACTACATTCCAGTGGGTTGCGCTTGATGGTAGTCAAGTCTTGTGCCACATGGCTCCTGCTGAGACCTACACAGCTGAAGCGCATTTCGGTGATGTCAAACGCAGTGTCACTCAGCATAAGTCTCTAGACACGGACAAGTCATCGCTGCTTGTATTCGGAAAAGGCGACGGAGGTGGTGGTCCGACTTTTGGGCACCTCGAAAAGCTGCGTCGATGCCGCGGTCTCAGTGATCAGGTCGGCTCATTGCCCCGAGTGAAAATGGGCGAGTCGGTAGATGATTTCTTTGCAAAGTTGGAGACAAAGGCTGCCTCTGGCACTGATTTTGCTACCTGGTACGGCGAGCTTTACTTTGAGTTGCACCGTGGAACATACACCACTCAAGCGAACAATAAGCGCAATAACCGCAAGGCCGAGTTTTTGCTGCGTGAGATTGAGCTTCTCGCGACATTCGCTACCATCAAGGCTTCTAATGATGGATATCGGTATCCCAAAAAGGAGATTGATGAGATGTGGGAAGGAACCCTCCTTTGCCAATTCCATGATTGCTTGCCGGGTAGCTCCATCGAAATGTGCTATGATGACTCAGACAAGTTGTATGCCGAAATCTTTGAGATTGGAGCTAAGCTGCGAAAGAATGCCCTCAAGGCTTTGGGACTCACTAGCGATGTCACGGGTGGAAATTTCATGGCCCTCAATACCTTGCCATGGGCCCGATCAGAAGTGGTCGCAATTCCTCCAGCAGTGTCCGCATACAATGGATCCAGATATGCTGTGGCTGCTGGTACAACTGGAGTGATGCAAGTTCAGCGGGCTGACTTCAAAACAACCACTTCGGTGACCGTTACTGAGATCAAATCTGGTGTCTTCCGCCTGGAGAACGGTAAACTTAGGGTTGATGTCCATGACGGGGTTATCACATCCTTGTACGATGTGCAAGCCGATAGAGAAATCGTCGCAAAGGACCGCAAGGCTGGCCAACTTGTTATCTTCGACGACAAGCCTCTTTACTGGCAAGCATGGGATGTCGAGGTGTTCCATATTGAGTCACGAAAGGAGTTGCCCGGGGGTAAGACGACCATTGTAGAAAATGACCCACACCGAGTGAGTGTCATGACTGAGACACAGATCAGCGAGAAGAGCTGGATCAAGACCACGATCAGCCTGTCGGCATCCACATCCGATGAGCCCTCATACGTGGAAATGGAGAGCGAGGTGGAATGGCAAGAGACGATGAAGTTCCTGAAGGTTGAGTTCCCAGTTGATATCGTCAACACCGAAGCATCCTACGAGACCCAGTATGGCATCGTTAGGCGCCCGACGCATTATAACACAAGGTATGCACCGACTTCCCATCTCCTTCACAACGATACTAAGTAATATGCAGTTGGGATATGGCCAAATTCGAAGTCTGCTGTCACAAATGGGCCGACCTCTCCGAAAACGGCTACGGAGTCTCCATCCTAAACGACTCTAAATACGGCTTCGCAACATGCGGTAACCTGATGCGCTTATCGCTTCTCCGTGCCCCCAAGGCGCCAGATGCCCACGCCGACATGGGTCGCCACCACATTCGCTACGCAATTCTTCCCCACGCCGGTGCCCTTGATGCCCGAACAATCCGCGCAGGCTTCAATTTCAATAACCCACTCATTGTTGAGAAAGCCGGCCCTAAAGCATCTGCTTCCAATGCTTTGTTTAAATCTCTATCTATCAAGGGCGCGCCATCCTTGATTCTAGATGTTGTCAAGCGCGGCGAGGATGATGTTGACGTTTCCTGGGATGGTGTTCCTACCCGTCCTGGAAAGAGTGTTATTCTGCGTGTCTATGAATCGCTTGGTGGTAAGGCTCGCGGTACCATTGAGACCTCACTGCCCGTGAAGAATGTTTTCAAGTGCAATATTCTCGAGGATGATGAGAACCACGGGCTTGATATTGAATCTGCAGGCGGTCTTTCCGCGATCAAGATTGAGTTGAGGGCGTTTGAGGTCGCTACATACCGACTGCAGCTGTGATTGTAAGAAACGTATTTGATTGGCAGGCTTTAGCCAAGCCCAAAGAGTATCGCAAGGCACTCATCGCATGTACCTAGCTCGTGTCGCATTCAATTTGAAGCAATGAAACAAATGATGTATCCGACAAACGCTGTAGTCTGTATAACTTCGTGATTTACATGATATCGCATCGTAGGTGTAATAAGACGGATAAATCCCATTCCCATTTCCCGCTACGCCCGAAACACGACTCCTCCCAGGAGTCATGTGAAAAGACAAACCAACCAACTCCGAACTCAAGAAAAAGCCAAGCAGATAGATGCAAGACGGGCGCAGAACATAAAGAAGACTGAATCTCGCAAGAAAACTCAGTCTCTGCCGTAGCTGATCTTCAACCGCTTCACAGAAGGCTTGTCCTCGTCGGAAATATCCTCGGTCTGGTTCTTGCCCTTCGTATTCTTCGACCCACCAGTCGCCTTCTTTTTGTTTTTTGATGCGCCGTTCGAGTTCCTCATCCCGGCAGAAACGGTTAGCGGGTCAATCTTCATGGACATGCCGTTTCCAGTCGTAGATGTCGGCGTTGCTGCGTGGGAAGGCGTGGTTTGTACAGAGGAGGGACCTGGGGAATCCTGCAGACACAACAATAATCGTTAGTCCTCAGTTCAAATCAGAAACACCATATGGTAGTTCCATTTTCGGGTCGGTTCAGCATACCATCATGTAACTCGCCGAGCTGCGCGAGAAAACTCGATCCGATTCCGTCACCTGCGCCTTTCGCCTCGACCCGCCCATACTGCTGCCCAGACCCAGTCCCGCGGCGCCGAGACTCGACCCATTCGCAGAGCCTTTGATATAGTTGTCAAAGCCCTTGATGATGTTTCCAGCGGTCGTTTCTTCCAGGTATGACTGTTCGAAGCGGAAGATTTGGTCTTCGAGTTGGGCCTGGGGGAAAGGTGTGTTAGAAACACATCAGAGCAGAACGGTTTACACATTCATAGGGCGATATTGCAGATTCTCAATTGGAAAACATGCTCGCGCAGCGAAATAACAAAATTCCAGAGAGGTAACCACGTCCCGGTCCCTGGAGACGGGAACGCGCAAGGCTGCAACTCACCATGCTCTTATCCATTAAGCGCTTTTTCTGCAGCGTGTCCCGCAGCTCGCGGCGCAGTTTCTCGTAGTAAGGTAGCCCGCGACTCGCGGCATTCTGATCTGCGGGCGCATTCGGTGCTCCTGCTGTTGCGCCGGCTGTGGGCGCTGCAACTCCGGTGGTCGCGGTCGCGGCTGTTGGAGCCGGTGCTGTGTCGGCCATTATTGTGGAAGTGGATCGCAATGGGAAGAATATTTTATGCTAAAGTGACGTATCCCATGCGCAGAATGGGTGAAACAAAGTTGAGATTGGGGTGGATGTAGTGTCAGTGCGTAGTCAATGACCGCGTTTGGGTTCTGGAGAGTTATATCCGCTTGGAGAGCTTATCGATGTTTGTCTTGTTTGCATTCCCCTCCTCTTAATCGTCCGATGATGTGCTTTGTTCGCTCCTCGTACCACCTGCCATCGTACGAGTATATTGTCGTTTATCTTATTTGAGACATAAGAGGTCTCTTGTTACTATTGCATATCTACTCACTACTATTGAAGATGGACCACTCGGACATGGGCCATGGTGATATGGGTCATGGCGATATGGGCCACGGCGATATGGACATGGGCGGGAAATGCAGTATGAATGTGAGTTATAGCCTCGATTCAGCTTTGGTCGTAGTTTACCTTATGCTAATTCCGTATGTAGATGCTATTTAACTGGTCCTCCGAGAATTTGTGCATTGTCTTCCGCAGCTGGCGTATCACCGGTCCCTTCTCCTTCCTCTTGTCCCTCATCGCTATCGTTATCCTTGCTGCGGGCTACGAGGGAATACGATCAGCAACTCGTAAATACGAGGCTGCCCATGCACAGCGGCTAAGTGCGTTCCTGGGAACTTCTGCCACTACTGGGGGTAAGTGATTTGCTCTTTCCATGGACAGTGTCAAGGATACTCTATTCCCAATAATTCCTACTATGTTTTCGTTGGATATCGGGGACATGATAGGGAGATGGTATACTCTGAATGAGCACGCTTCTTATTGATGTCTTGGCTCTCTGCAGACGCTGAGATCGCCGACCCTATCATTGCCAACGGCCTGGCGGATGCAACCAACCACACTCACCACGAAAGCTCACCACTGCTTGTAGGAAGCGAGAACAGAGCGGCATTGGCGCGCAAGGGCAAGCTTATCATGGCGGCTTTGTATGCCATCCAAGTGTTCTATAGCTTCTTCATCATGTGAGTGCCTCCCGGAAACCATTTGGCCCCGTCCTGGCTTGCTGATTTGGTTTAGGTTGCTCTTCATGACGTATAATGGGCCGGTTATGATTGCGGTTGCAGTGGGCGCATTCGTTGGGTACTTGACTTTCTCCGAAGGAACGCCAGCGGCAAAGACAATCGCGTGTCATTAAAGGATGCCCGGGGCATTGACGAATATGCAGACTCAGAGGCAGTGTAGAGAACAATGACCATATGGCAAATTTTGAACTGGTTTTGGATTGGAATTGATGGGTTTGGAAGCCCTTTCCGGCGGAGAATGGTGCTGGTTTGTGGTGGCGACTTCATTGGGTTGCGGTTCAATCACTCTCCATATTGCAGTAATAGTTCATGGGACTTCAACATCACTCCCATCATCGCCAAATCCAAAACTAAATCCACCTCCTTCGGTGTCTTGGGTGTCTTCTGTTTTTCCGTGAACAATATCCTCCCATTTGCGCTTCTTGCCTTCGTTCTTCTTCTGCAACTCATCCCAAGTGTGCTCCAGCAGGTCGGGATATGCCTCGCGCATACCGGCCATAAACCGCTCACACGGATTAACCACATTCTTCCGGAATCCAGACACCTGGTCCGGCTTGTTAGACAAGAAATCTAAAGCAGCGCCGAGATGGCCTCGGGGAACAAAGTTCTGCGTAATAGCGATCGATGGCTCTAGGTTCACGACCAAATGCCACCATCCAGACGGAACGTGTAGGATCTCACCCGCGCCGCAGATACCTTCCACGCAGCCCTGAGTCCGGCGTGCCTCGGCATGGAATCCCAGTAGCCATTCGGCAATGCTCAGCGGAGAAGTCACCTCGCTCTGGTCATCCGACACAAAGACACCCGGAGGCGGAGGCTGTTTCGTGCTGGACGGGAACATAATCCAATACTTGGGACCGCGTATCACGGCGTTCCAAGCGCTGGTGGCATTGGGGTCTTTATGAAACTTGCTGCCGGACCGCTCGGGGCCGATAATCAACCATTGATGATCAGGGCGGTCGTCACCGAGCACGGAGAAGAAGTCTTCAGCGAAGCACGCTGGTGGCCAGTACGATGCGTCGGGTGTGGTTTCTGGAGACCCGACCGACAGTCCCATCTTAGAGACGAAGGACCGATCAAATAGGTACAGCGGGCTCTCGTCGGAGTTATCTGCCATGTAGTCGCCGTAAGTACGCATGGCCCAGTCCACGGCTTCGGCGCGGAACTTGGTCTTCCCATATCGGGCGAGTAATGACCCGACGGTCCAGTTCTTGTATGCTGGCCAGGCCTTGACAGGCTCAGTCAAGATGAATGGTCGGTCGGTCCACTTTGCTTGGAATTCCTCAGGTGACAGGTCTGGAAGTCGTGCGATCTGGTTCCGCGCCGGAATCTTGGAGACATATGGGTCGAGTGAGATATGTGCGCAGTTGAACGGTCGGTATAGAGAGTCGGAGAATAACTGGGAGCAGTCCACCATGGGCACCTTGGAGGCGGGGATATTGAGATATGTTGATCGCCATGTCCCTCGCCAGGTGAAATCTTCTCTTGGGTCACTGCAAGCAGACTTAGTATCTCATGTGTTCATTGGAAGTTTGGGACATTATGATATTGAATAAATGTAGGGCTCTAAGATCTACATGGTTCAACTGGATATGCAGGTAGCTTACCGAACAAACAGCGCTTTCCATAGTTCTTCAGCCCGGGTAAATGCATAGAAAGCCTTGCATGTCCGCCCGATGCTCAATAGGCTTGGCCCATCGAGAGTCTCCAACAACAACAGGATTAGTTCGTCTGGTAGGTGCTGAAAGGTCCCTATGGCATTGCGAAGACTCCATGTAGCCAACAGAGCATTTCCACTTGGCTTCACGCCTAATGGGTGGGAGGGGATAGCCTCCGTTATGATCTCTGCATCGTGTGGTGGTGGATGACTCGACAAGGAGGTGATATCAGGCATGATCTGGCTGGCACTTTAGGGCTTCAAAGACGCGTTTGATGGCAACTGGAAGATAGTTCACCAAATAAATGGGAACATAAGAAACTGAATGGACAGAATCAAAGTCCCTAAACAAAGCAACAACCTGCACCACACCAATCAGTTCAAAAAATGCAATATCATCACTAAGAAGATGTTTTCATGCCCATGTCGCCCACTCTAAACTCGCTTGGGCTTGGCCACCCCCAACACGGCAAGCGGTGAGATTTTGCCCCGTAAAAAAAAAAACGGCGTAGCAAATGGCGCGGCGGTTGTGGCCATTCGATTTTTTCGCTTTTCTTCTCTTCCTCCTCCCACCCCATTTGTGAATTTTCACATCCAACCACATTTTTCAATATTCCCTAGTATCCTGTAAAAAGACTCTTTATCAAGAGTCTGAGGTACTAGAAGTCAACTTTCCCACGCGAATCTACACAAGTTCGCTAAAACTACCCCACCACACCGATCACAGTCAACGCCTGTGATCCTTTCTATCAAACCGCAATCATGGCTGACAAGGGTCTTGAGGATCTTGCCGAGGGTATGTGCTAAGTCTCTGTTACTTTCTGATTAGAGACCCCGCTGCTTGCTGTCGCTGTCGCACGCGCGATCGCATTCAGTATTGGGTGGCGTCGGATACTGAAATGCGTGATGAAGATGGAGGCTAATCTTGCAATTTTCATCAATAGGGCAGATCGAGTCTAACTACGATGAGGTCACTGATTCCTTCGATGCTATGGACCTGAAGCCCGAGCTGCTTCGCGGTAAGTCCCTTTTCGTCTTATCAGGTGGGGTGAAAAAAAAATACTGACGGGATATCAGGTGTCTACGCCTACGGTTTCGAGCGCCCTTCCGCCATCCAGCAGCGTGCTATCATGCCCATCATCAAGGGTGAGTTTCTTTTATTCCAGATTCATTTTTGAAATTTGCGCCTAACCTGTGAGGTCAGGCAACGATGTTATCGCCCAGGCTCAGTCCGGTACCGGTAAGACCGCTACCTTCTCCATTTCCGCTTTGCAGAAGATCGACCCCGAGATCAAGGCCTGCCAGGCTCTGATCCTCGCTCCCACCCGTGAGTTGGCTCAGCAGATCCAGAAGGTCGTTGTCGCCATCGGTGACTTCATGTCCCTTGACTGCCACGCCTGTATCGGTGGTACCAACGTCCGTGAGGATATGAACGCTCTCCGCGCCGGTCCCCAGGTCGTTGTCGGTACTCCCGGCCGTGTCCACGACATGATCCAGCGCCGTGTCCTGTCCACCACCGCCATGAAGCTCTTCATCCTCGACGAGGCCGATGAGATGCTGTCGGTAAGTTGCTATTGTTGATACTCTATGTATCAATCGGTTCTAACTCTTTTTTTCAGCGTGGTTTCACCGAGCAGATTTACGACATCTTCCAGCTGCTTCCTCAGTCTACCCAGGTCACCCTGCTCTCCGCTACCATGCCCCAGGATGTCCTTGAGGTCACCACCAAGTTCATGCGTGACCCCGTCCGTATCCTTGTCAAGAAGCAGGAACTTACCCTTGAGGGTATTAAGCAGTTCTACATCGCTGTTGAGAAGGAGGAGTGGAAGCTCGACACCCTCTCCGATCTCTACGAGACCGTCACTATTACCCAAGCTGTCATCTTCTGCAACACCCGCCGAAAGGTCGACTGGCTCACCGACAAACTCACTGCCCGCGATTTCACCGTCTCCGCTATGCACGGTGACATGGAGCAGGGCCAGCGTGATGTTATCATGAAGGAGTTCCGTTCCGGTTCCTCCCGTGTCCTGATCGCCACCGATCTGTTGGCCCGTGGTATCGATGTCCAGCAGGTTTCCCTGGTCATCAACTACGATCTCCCCGCCAACCGTGAGAACTACATTCACCGTATCGGTCGTGGTGGTCGTTTCGGTCGTAAGGGTGTTGCCATTAACTTCGTCACCGCTGACGATGTCCGCATGCTCCGTGAGATCGAGCAGTTCTACTCCACCCAGGTTGAGGAGATGCCCATGAACGTGGCTGACCTCATCTAAACCCCCTAACTCTTGACGTCTTGATGCGGTTTATGATCGCAGAATCTGCGTTAAAAGTGGCTTTCTGCGTTTCCGCCTGCAGTGTGCCGGGCAAGTGACTGGGGCTATGCTTCCGCATATTGAGTTGACAAGTCGACGCCCCGGCATTTTTCTCGGCCTTTGCTATGGTTCCTATGTCTTGCACTAACGGAGATGAGACACGTTTGCGTTCACCTCTTGCTTCTCCGTTTTCCCTTATTTCTTATGCATTTCCCTCTGCTTTTCCTTGTCTGTATCTAGCTCGCTCTCGTTGGTTAAGGATGCTTCCTCTTCTCGTACTTGATCAATAGAACGGGCCAAAATGTGACATGTTCCTCAAGGCGTTGTCCTTGAATGATATTTAACTTCGTATTCTCTTATTGAATAGATATCCTGGTGTAAGCCTTAACTTCTTACTGTATCAATAACTAGTGTATAAACAGCTTGTATTATTCTACTCTTGCCAGTGGCATACAAGCGTAATTCGAGCCCATTCAACAGCCGGTAGGCCTCTATTATCGTGTGATACGTTTATTCCTAGGTTTTTCGAGCAGTTCCAGTGTCTTGACTGACTCTTGCTCTATCAATATATTTGTCTTCCTACGGATATTAAGATGCTCGGATCATATTCCGATGCTCGGACGAGGGAGCCGACCTCGTGGTTGTGTGATATGTCAATTCTCGGATAACCAGCTGCAATTGAATGAATAGTGCCGTAAAAGACTATCATTGAGTTCTCTAGTGTCAGATATGTAGATGCGTATCTTCCAATCTTTTTTCCTCGTTCAGCGTTTCTCTAGAGAGTGGATAAAGATACAAGCGGTCGGCGCCGTGGGAGTTCTCCGCATCTTTCGGAGAACACCCGAACCTCCGGCCCTCCCACGACATATCTTTCCTTAAATCCTCTTCTTCGTCAATCGCATAACCCCAATTCCCTCCAAAATGGCTTCCGTCCGCGCCAACTGCCGCAAGGTTATGTGCATCGGCCGTAACTATGCGTGAGTTTCCCTGTCTCCGCGCGCCCTGTTCCCTCGGGAGTTCCGACACCGGCGTCGCTTTCTCTTCTCTCGGCCACAATTGCTAACAGCATGGATTGATAGCGATCACATTGCCGAGCTCAATAACACCGCACCCAAGCAGCCATTCTTCTTCCTGAAGCCCGCATCATCCATCCTCGTTCCCGGCGCGGGTCCCGTTCTCCGCCCCAAGGGCGTCAGCCTACACTATGAGGTCGAACTCGGTCTTGTGATCGGTAAGACCGTGCGCGATCTCGATCCCAACGATGAGCAGGGCGCATTGGATGCGATTCAGAGTGAGTACAGCATTCAATCCGGGTCCGAACGGGCATACCGCAGTGTCCACCCCAGCGGTGGACCGGTGGACCGGCTCAAGCAGCAAGTCGCTAATCAAACCATTGCGCTAAACAGGCTACGTCCTCGCTATTGACATGACAGCCCGCAACGTCCAAGATGAGGCAAAGAAGAAGGGCCTTCCCTGGTCCATTGCCAAGGGCTTCGATACCTTCTGCCCTATCTCGCAGGAGATCCCCAAATCGCGCATCCCTAACCCGCACAGCGCATTCCTGCGTCTGAGCGTTAACAACGCCGAGCGCCAAGCTGACTCGACTAGCCTGATGCTGCACCGCATTCCTCAGCAGTTGGCGCATATCTCGCGCGTGATGACTCTGGAGAAGGGTGATATTGTTCTTACCGGTACGCCCAAGGGTGTTGGACAGGTCAAGGCGGGTGATGTTATGAAGGCGTCGATTGAGGTTGACGGGAAGGAGATCGAGGAGGGACGGATTGAGGTTGAGGTTAAGGACCGCGAGGGACCGTATGAGTTCAAGGAGACTTAGATTAACTTATAGAGACTAGAAGTATATAAGAAGTCATCATTTGGGGAGTCCAAAGAGTCGGTATTTCTCCTACCGATAATAAATCCAGCGCCAAGCTTTGAGACAGACGAAATTAATAATATATATAAATCCAGCGAGCCCCGAGTGCCGATATTAATCTCCTCCCAGGTGAAAAACGGACTTCGAATAAGTGCGGGTATGCCAAGACATTGCACTCTTCGGCTCTGATTTCCAAGGACACCAAATATCTCTCTCGGCTCAAACATCACTAGACACATCAAAATGCAAGTCGCAGAGATCCTCTCAGATATCAATTCTCTCCGCGTCTGCGTAAGTATATTGCTTCCTTCTTCACGGCTGCCCAAACGCGTCCAAGCCACGTCTTAAACAAGGGACAGTACTCCACCAGACAATGACAATGCTAACAACCCGGCACAGGGTCATAACGAGGCCCTGGCACTGGTAGATGTGCACAAAAATGGCACAGCCTCGGGTTCAACCAAGTCCGGTAGCGCATTGGCAGATCAGAGCCCGGCAGACGACAAGGCCGATCTTCGTCGTGCAAAGGAGCTGGTTGAGCTACACTATGAGGTGAAGGCAAGACATGCCAATGGAACTGTTGATGAGGGGCTGAGGCAAGCTCGGCAAGATGTCCGGCGAGTTCTGACGGAGCTGTCGACTATCTAGTCACAGTTACTAGGATTATTTTTGTTGGATATGGGCGCGGGCGTTGAGGATCGCAGTTGCTGTTTTTTCTTTCATGATTTATATGACCGATTGCATGGATTTCGGTCGGCTATTATCTCTCTGAATTGCCGATGACTTGTCTTTACCAATGACATTCTCATAATGCATACATGCCCCGAGCCCTCGGAAGGGGAACTGTGAATGACTCAATGAATTTATTGCACCTACGTCGCTCACAACTCTTTCTGTGCGTACTGTACGATCTGATCATGAGCAACTACGCGTCCTTCGGCCGTCTTGCACAAATCTCCAATGGCTATAGCCCGCCTCTGGATTCCTTTATCTTTCAACACTCGCAGCAGGGCCGAAGACAGCTTCGATCCGTCTATACCCGGTGCCACATTGCGGCTTCCGTGTAAGCCAATACCTAGCCACTCTACTCGGGCCGGACAATCGTATGTGTCGAACCACTGGGGCAGAATGACCTGCGGAACACCAGCCCTGGGAAGAGACATCAGCACTTTTCTTTCAATATGTGTGACCCCAAGTATAACCTACTTGCACGCCTCGAAAAATGAGTTCGCTCCTCCATGGTGGACATATGCAAGTATATTACCTCCCTCCAAAAGAGATATAATCTCCGGCTGGATCCATGGGAAAATCCTCACCTTATCAGAACTGACAAGAGATCCGAGAATATTCTTGACCGTCGGAGAGCTTTCCCAGTCATATTTGAGCTTCCACAAGACCTGCATACTAGGAAATTCGCGCAAAACCGCCTGGGTAGCCATCGTCATCTGCAGTGCATCATTTTCCGGAGCTTGAACATGTGACCCGAGACATATCAGAATTGTCGGCTCTTTCAACCATGAATCCAGTGCTGGATCGCTATCTGTAAGTGACGGACATGGCCGGAGGATTGGACCGCAGCTGATGACATTATCCGGGACGTATAGCGGGAAATCCATCTCTTGGAATGAAGGCGAGAGATGTAGATGGTTTTCACAGTAAGGTGCCACGTGAGGAAAGACAGTCTGAATTCCTGCTTTCTTTCGAATGTCCAGAAGATCGCGTAGGGGCTTACCCAAGCGAACCATAAGCCCGAAGCAAAACGCCATGTATATATTCGCAAGGATCAATCTCCATGGTAGAGGGTATGGATATCCCGACCCGGTGCTGAGGAGCAGAAAGTCAGCTCGATACCCGAATTCTAAGAGGAAGATATGAGTTGCGCACAGGGGATATTTCCACAAAAGACCAGCTTTCGGCTGGATAGTTACCACTATATCTTTCAAAGGCACAGGCCAAAGGATCACGATTCGCGTGTCGATACTGCGAGCGGCATCTAGTCCTAGATGCAACAGCGGATCCACAACCACGACGACCGGACGGACATCTTTCAGAATCTCGAGACTGCTTCGATATGACCGTATATACTCATCAGGCTTCCAGCCTACCACGGAGATGTTGATGATGTTACACGCATCACGCGTTCCAGCAAGCCCCGGCCGATGACATATATTCGGTGTTGTACGGGTCACGATCTCGGACAGGGACGGACCTGCGATTGGATGGAAGTGGATGACTTGGTCGTACTCCACTTTGTCGTTTATCGCTTGCACGCGTGCTGATAATTCTTCGAAGGAGGCGATGTGGACTTCGAACTCGCCGCGGTGCAGGAACTCTTCGGCTACTGCGAGTGCTACGTTGGACTGTCCATGCTCGGGGCTTGTGAGGAAGAGGATGCTCTGTTTTGGTGGTGACATGGTGTTCTTCTTTTTTGCCCGGGTCGAAATCGAAAAGTTTGTTGGTGGCCATGGATTTTATTTTATAGGAACATGCCTCCCACTATTATAAGATTGCATTGTCGCATTCTATGAATACTAGCCGATGTATGGTTACTCAAGGATGATTTAAGGGACAAAAAGGGGTACTAATGGCCTAAGTTCTTTCATGTTGGTTCAATAGGGAAGGTAGTAGTCGATTGTCTCATAAATGGCTTAGGTTTAGACAATTTAGACAAGTAGCTTGCGTACCATTAGGCATCCTTAACGAGAATACTTATTCCTGTAGTACTAATGGGAACATGGACCTCAGATAAGTAAGAAGAAATGAACGAATTAATGGTCTATATCCAATTTCCGACCTAAGAATCCAAGTTTTCGCAAGCAGCCAAAAGTGACGGCCAAGCCGACCAAGTTTAGAGAGAGCAAGAACAAGAATGCAGTCCGATAACCGCTCATCCATATCTCTGGGGATTCTAAAGAAGTACTCTGGTCGGGTTTCTGGAGCTGCTGTGTGCTGACATCGTTTGAGATAAGCGCCGTCAGTGCCATGCCTACGGAGGCTCCGATCATTGCCACAGTACAGAGCACCCCCATTGCAAACTCCTGAGTCTCTGAGGGAAAAGACCCAGCGACCAGCATTGTGGCAATTGGGATAACGGAATTTGGTGCCACCGGGTTTAATGATAGGGCAGGCATTGCATATTTCCAGCAAGGCCAAGCTGTGCTCAATGTAGCCATCAAGAGTGGAGAGAAACTAGAAAGTGATATTGCAATGACGAGTATCTGGTTGGCTGTAACACGAGTCAAGAAACGTCCAGTGACCAGACTGCTCAGCGCGGCGGCGATTGGAATTGCCAGATATTGGAAAGAAGATTGTCGAACCGAGAGCCCTTGTACTCGTTGGAATACGAAGATCATAAGCTGCGAAGTAGAGAGAGAAGACGCGTAGACGAAGAAAATAACCAAACCAATGGAAAGAAAATGGCAATTTGTCCAAAGAGAATTCTGAATGTGTTGTGTGCTGTCTCTTTCCCAGCAATCCTGCCAGAACAGGAAGGCAACCACAAGAATCCAACCAAGAGCAAGAGGAATGAAGAGGCCCGATCTGCCAATGTTTTGCACATTGTTTGTGATGACGCTAGTTATTAATTAGCGTTCTGTAAGCATAGACTATCACTGAGAGGGAATACGTACGCCAATGCAGAGAATAGAAGTACCATCAATGAACTAGCCAGCAGAGTTCCAGACCAATCGATACCTTCAGCCAAGTCTGCCCATGGGACGTATTTTGGCTCTTCGGCCTGTTGGGGAATCCTGCAAAATGATAGGAGAAACCCAAATAGGCTCAAAATTGCAGCGCAATGAAAGCCCCATCGCCAACCAACAGTCTCTGAGAGTATTCCACTAAGGACGATGCCTACCCCGGAGCCAATATATTGACTTGCACTGGTACAGGAGAATGCCAAATTGCGCATCTTACCAACTGGAAGATTCTCCCTGTGAATGCTCATTGCAGAAACGAAACACATCGGGTAAGCCACGCCGGACACAAATCTGACAGTAATAAACTGCATGCCAGTTCGAGCAAGCCCGCTAGCCATATGGCAAACAGTCTGTAAAAAGCATCCGCACAGGAATGTTCTCCTACTGCCTAGAACGTCTGCTAAAGATCCTGCCAGCAGGAATGTGCAACCTTGAGCAAGATAGTGCATTGACATTGGCCTGTGGGGTTGTGAGCTTGGCATGTTCTGTGTAACCAGATAGAAAACTGCCGGGGCATTGAGATGTCTCTCACCATAATTCAACTCCGGGGTCTAATCCGAACTCGGATGAGTGTTGTGTGATATTGAGGGCGACGAGGTTGTTTATTGCACTGGCAATAAACAATACCGAGGCAGTGCAAGTTATGATGGTCAATCCATGTTGAGAGTGGGTTTCGGAGTGGGTGAATGGGGACCCGAGAAGCGGCTGATCCTCGGGGATCTGGGGATCATCTAAACAATCGTATTCCAACACGACATGAGGCCTATCTGTTTGCATCATTGAATCTCGAGATGTTTGACATTTGGAAAGGAAAATAAGAGCGAAGAGCTGAAAGTACTGTACTTTCATTAGCCAATCACATGCTGGTCCACTTTTCAGGGTCCCCTTACCTGAGCTGTTATCTCATTGGCTGAATATTTTACGCCTGTCTGTATTTTTCAGTATTTCACGGTATTTTTGGCCTCCCAAGACTAGTTCTGAGACATTGCTAGTGACTACCTCCATGTTCACAGTGGTGCCAACAGTAATCTCAAATTCAAATAGGACTAGTCAAGTAAAGCCCAGAATTAAGACTCAATATAGTTATTCTTCAACGCGCAAATCATCCCCAGGGCCAATACTATGCTATGCGTGCTAAAGATGGCTCAAAGACGTCATGAACATTCTACATTCATTCTCTATCAGTAACTTTTGCTTGTCTGAATTACAGAACACATCCCATGCTTCCAGTCATTATGATGAGGAGGAACCAAAGCACAGCGCCGCTGCAGCTGAATACCTAAGCACATGCTCGCTTATTCTGTATATATAGTTCAAACGAAACCGTAGACCTTCGATCGGCATTTCGTCCGTCTACTTCATATTTCCTAAGAATGACGTTGAGGGAAAAACGCTTTCGACCTGGGAAGGCGCAGGCGTCTGCAATATCGGGTCGCACCAGACGACAATCATTGGACCAGTAAGTAGGTACATCAACTGGGGGTTGTCCTCGGGTTACAAGATTCAAATACAGATCTTCGAAATGATGGATTCGCAGTTCTTGGCTTGGCGTTTGTCCCGCCACGGCTGCCTTTGTTAGACATGATCGAATGTCATCCGCATAGTCTTTGTATTCATCTGTTTTGCTCTTGCAGCGCACTGACCGCAATAGCATGGCGTTTTCAGCTCCGATTCCAATCAGGAATACAGGTAGACCATAGAACGATCCAAATGTGAACGTGTTTAGACTATAAAACGTCCGGCGTGCTTCATCATAAATTTGACTACTTACAGACATAATTGCCAGTGGATTGTTGATGGGGTTATGTTGCATCCAGGTCCCACTTCTGTGGGGGTCAACATCTCTGTCGCGGACACGTTTTTCAATGTATATTTCGTCGAAAGAGAGGAGAAATTTGTAGATTATCAATCGCAACTCTAGTCAATCAATGTGCTCGAGTTAGTCAAAAAAATTCTTTGAAAACATGCATGCTCGCAGTGAGACAACCGGTTACTTGCCGAATGAATAAGGGGACAGAGCGGTAAAAGATAAACAGGTGAACGTACCTAGGGGAAGATCGAGGAACGGAAATGGCTCTTCGCGAAGAAGAACCGTCTCTTCATCAAAGGGAAGATACCATGAATGGAGATGTTGAGGGCCATTTTTCGTTTCTGAAGATCCAGGTTGATATCCACAGTGGCGCCAATAAAAAACATGCTCAATGAACCGGCAGCGAGATATGATTATCTTGGAACATGTCCAGCATTTGTATTTGTGATCGTCACCTGCCTCGTAGTGTGAGTGAAGGCGCTAAAGAGTTTGATTGATTTCCAAGATGTCATGGATTCCGTCAGCCGGAAAACGCTAGGTGCCAGTGTAATTGTTTAAATGATTTCGAAGCGCGGTTTTGTTGGCATATCGCTTCTGACAGAACTGACACACCTGTGCACACCAAGGCATGTTGTCCAGATGAGTGTAGAGAGAAAGTTCCACAGATGCGCAGGCGCTGATAAACCAACCAGATGTTTGTAGGCAGCCGGGTCCTAACTAGGTAGGCATATAGACCTTTACCGCCTTCTTGATATAGGTATACAACTAGGTAACCAATAGAATTGCCGGCAGATTATTCATCGGAGCACACTTTTGCAGTGTGAAGTCTAGGCTGTATGAATAATACAGCACTGAGCTTCCAAAGTTCTCCTGTTGGCTTTAAATTTTGGATCTGGTAAGCCAACTCCTTATCCCTTTAGAACTTCCCCTGGAGGAATCCATTCGGATCTAACCGACTGGTCCATAAATTGTGGGTCCGGCTCGAATCGTGAGCCTAAACCGAGACCTCATTCACCTCTCACACCAGACAGTGATGTACGGGCTATATCACTCAACAGGTGCAAACATATTAGAATTCTTCTGTTCCTACCTAGTTCAGAATGTGGTTCCTGCTGCGCTCATCATCACCACACGGAAAGGCTCTCTTTTACGCTACCTATGCATTCCAGGGATGATATGGATCGCCAGCCGTTTTATCCGTCCTTTTGGCTCGTCCGGCAGTCCAACATGGTGCCAGGCCATAACACAATTTGTCATTGCAACTTTACAGGCAACAAACCTGTTGTTGCTTAATCCTCTAGTCAATTCAGACATCTCGCGCGACGCAAAGAGCACTCGAAAGTCCGGGTCTAAGTTGCTCGCAGCATCTCGCTTACTTACTCAAACCCGTGCCGTCAATACACACTGGCAGGTGAAGAATGTGCCCTCTCATCCAAAGTATTATCTGCGGCGGGGTATGCAGGTCCCAACATGGGGTCGATTTTTGCTGCGACAGCTAGCAATCGTCGCATGGCAGTGCCTAGTGCTAGACATCGTGCAAACGGTCTCGATTCAGCAGGCTAGGGAACGTGGTCTGTATGAGCCCGCATCCTTGGAGGTCAAATGGATTGTGCCGGTCGGACAATGGGCAGAGCGAATAGCCACGCATCTGTCTATTTGGTTTATAGTAAACCGTCTAATCGGTGATCTTGCATATCGAGTACTGTCGATATTTTTCGTTGGAATCGGGCTAGATTCCCCTGCAGACTGGCCACCAGCCTTTGGGAGTATGGCCGATGCATTTACATTGCGCAACTTTTGGGGGTAAGCCATATTTATTTACTAGGATGGCATGATTATGTTAACGTATTTCACAGGAAATTCTGGCATCAATTCATGCGTCAGCCCTTCACTTCTATCAGTAACTTCATCGCGCGAGATTTTTTGCATCTTACCCGATCTTCAATGCTGGAGCGATACACCAACATTTTCATTGTCTTTCTTATCTCCGCAATGTTCCATGTCATGGTTGATATACTGCAGAGCGTTCCGATGGAAAGATCCGGCTCAATGCCATTCTACTTATCGTTTGTCTTTGGGATAATGCTCGAGGATGGCGTGCAAAATATTTGGCAACGGGTACAAGCACCAGAGAACTGGCAAGAGGTAAAGCAATCATCAGGTATTGTCCCGCTTTGGAAGAGAGCCGTTGGAATGGTATGGGTCATGTTATGGCTTGGGATCACCTCGACATGGTACTTTACTCCAATGATTCAATCCACGAATGATGATCTGCGGGTGATTCCTTTCAGTGTCGCAAGATATATCGGCCTCCAGCCACTCATAGGTATTGTCCTGGGTAGTGGAATTGGCATTGCACTTATGTTTGAAGTTGAGCTATGAGACACACAAGCAACTGCTCTCAGAACTGGGATACTGATCGCCGGATAGTTCAGCGCTTTATTCAAGGCCTGCAAACAGGGTTGAGTAACCTTTGACCTGTGATTCAAGAACAACCATCTCTATCATAATTCCACATGAAGATGATGTGACTCATGTGAGTCCTTGATGACTACTCCGGGAAGGGCTCGTGCGCAATCGCATGCCGTCCCCTTCCAAGTTCTTCCATTCTTCACACTTGAGTTGAAATTTCCAGTATGCCACAAAGATCAATTTCAAAGTGTGATCACACGTGTGTCTGTTTGTCCTCCTCTCCGCATGCTGCTGTAGCAGGTTTCAGACGACAAGGCCAACGGCAACGCCTCGCTGCGATCAAAGCAGACCATCAAAGCTTCCCACGAGAAGACAAACTCTTACTTGAAGAAGACGACAGAGCCTTTCCTGCCCCTTTGTTGCTGCCTGGAGATGATCTTGCCGGAGATCCAGAAGACCCGCAGAGCTTTCAAGAATGGCTTGATGAGGAAGACCGCAATCCGGTAACCGAAAAGCAAAAAACGATCTATGTCGTTCCATCTCCTCAAATTGATGCAGATGTTGACTTCGTGGGAACATGGGAAACACCAAAATGTCCAGATCATGAGTCCATAAAACCCCCTAGTACGAAGGATGTCCAGGACTATCTGACTGCGTTCTATCACGGTCTTCCTGTCAAGATGATGCCACCATCTACCTTGAAGTTTATTCCATGGAAAACCCCTAAGAAGAAACCTCAGAAGAAAACAGGCCTGCAATACCTGGGTCTAAAATCCGGCGATGAGTGCGTGCGGGTTCGCTCACGTACCTTGTCAAATGGGGTATATAGGGGCCAAGTCAATCTAGACGATCTTCTCGATGTTGCCATCAGCATTTTACCAAAAGATGCATATGCCCTCTTGATAATTGTGGATTTCGATCTCTACGAGGACGATGATGACGAGTTCGTATGTGGCCGCGCGTACGGGGGAAGTCGCGTTGCCGTGGTATCCAGTGCAAGATATAATCCGATACTAGATTCTATTCAAGATGTCGAGCGTCTCCATGCATGGCCTGCATCTCATTGTGAGAAATCTATGTCTGCATGTGCTTCGGCAGAACCAACTGCCAAGAGACAGAAAAGACCTCCGGTCAATAGCCGAGGATCACAAAAAAATTCGTTTTCGGAGCTTACCGGACCTGTGAAGGATGCAGTATCATTCTACCGCTCCCTCCCAGAGATAGATTCATCGCCTTCATTACTTTCCGCACTCTGGTTAGGTCGCGTTTGTCGGACAGCGAGCCATGAACTGGGTCACTGCTTCGGTATTGGCCATTGCGTGTACTACGCGTGCTCAATGCAAGGCACTGCGTCTATCTGCGAAGACGCAAGGCAGCCGCCTTATCTCTGTCCGGTTGATCTGGCGAAGGTTATTTGTGCCACTTCAACATCTGCGTTGGAACGATACCGGGCTCTTCTGGCGATTTGTGAACGGCCGGGTAATAGTGGTACACATTTCTTCGGACCGTTTGCTACTTGGATCCGAAGTAGGCTAGGTCAGATCGAGAACTCGGCTTGAGTTTCTTGATTAGGATGCTACTCTTTCCTTTGCCATGCAATGATAGAAGACAATGGTGGGGTTTTGGATTTAAATAATATAATCTTTTTCACAAAGTCAGTGTCACCTCGAAATATATATCAACAAATTTTTCGACAACATTGAAAGGGAACATTCTCTAAAAAGACACCAAATTTCCAACAGCCAGTCTTCGTAGTGTATACCGTAATACCGACATGGTATGCAACGTTGCGTCTTGTCTTCATCGGTGCATTCCGTCAACCATTTGACATTATTTCCAATTCGGCAGTAATATTGCATCGGAATATAAATACAGCAATCACATGAAAAGACCGGGCCGGAATTGCAGGAACAGATCGGTTCCTGCTTCTTCCATCTCAGCACAACCGAGCAATCCTTCCGAGTCCTACGCGAGGACGTTGCCATTAGTGATAGTTGGAGTCATCTACCCTGCCAGCAATGTGTCCTAGACAGTGGGGAACTTGCAACCGAGTCATTAGTATGAGAGATTTATTCCCCAATGCACTTCTTTTCCAAAAGCGTGCCTACTTTCCAGATCGGGTGTTGTTTCAAGCTGGGAATTGGGGGCCATCGGCTTCACGATGTCTTGCATTCGGCTCAGCGCAACCCACCCACGGCAAAATTTCGGATAATGCTGCATGATGCTGCATGAAGGCATGAAATTGTTTATAGCTTTGAACTTTGAGGTGTTTCATGAGATCTTGCTGTCAACTGGTGGATCATCGGTTAGCCGTGCGATCGTCGAAAACAAAAATAGCAACTGTTTCAAGGAGGTTGATCTTGCTGGACCGCGGAACTGAGCACTGGGCTGGGGTTTTCTTTCGGTTGATCGTAAGGTAACTAAAACATCCGACACTCTCCGAGGGGGTGGGGAATTATCGGTGCAACATATGAGAGATCGAAGTCTTTAGTTTGGCGTTTTTACACATTCTGCGATTTCAATAACTAACTATCACAACCAGACTGAACTTTAGTAAAAAAGCCAATAGATAGCTCGTCGTATCTATGGAATATAGTTCTGATATTATTCTCGGCCAATCATTCCGAGCGAAAGACTAACACAACTAAGAAGAAAGGCGTCGGACTAGTTGAACCTTACCGAATGGGGAACTTTACATTTTGGAATCATTTTCTTTGTTCTAGACCGGATGTTGTCTTTACCACTCGTATGTCCGATATTATTAAGAGTTGCGTTGGCAAAACTAGGATTATTGCATGGAGGATCAGGGGGGCTATCGACTCAGGGATGACAACACGTACTTTGGATATTTGAGCTCGGCCATTTTCACCGCGATATTCGTAGCGAAGATAGGCTCCTGCATGGACTGACCGTGACAGTGCAACATAGGCCGGACAGCTGCAGCTGGACTGCAGCTTGCAATGCTGCATCTGATCTCGCCGGCCTCTTGGAAATCAGACTGAGCGCAATTTCCAACGCGCAGGGGAAGGTCATCCTTCCTGCTCAGAGGCTGTTTGTGGCGCTCGTGGGGCTTGTCCGCGTGGGGTGAGACATATTGGGCTCCTGCAGATCACTACACTACTTACGGAGTAATGTGTGGAGCATGGAAGAGAAGTTCAATGGCTAGGTTATTCCTCGAGCCATTGACAGCCCCTGTTTCGCTGTCATGTTGAATGTCCTGGCGCGAGTATTAGAATGCAAGTACGAGGGACTATAATATACTCCGTACTTAGGGTTAATTTACTCCGTATGCGCTTTCACAGATAGTTCTTTCTCCACTCTGCAGACTGCAGGTCAACTCGTTTTGAGCATGTTCTCGATATTAATTAATATTAATCTATCTTTAATAGATTATTCTTATTTGTCTTGGCTGTAAAAGTGGAGATTCTCCATGAACTGCATAACTTCATATTCCAGTAACATTTCAAGACGGAGTGGCGTCTTGCTAGTGTAGGCAACAAGACTGGAAGGGCCTAGATGCTATCCCTTGTTTTTGTGTTGGGTCTGTCCCAACACATATAACATGCTTCCACATCCTATCCATGAACTAAATCCATTCACGGCCAATATATAGTTCTTGTAATACCTCACAAAGATTAGACCATATTTGAGTTGGTGGCTGACAGATTGCCCGCCACGCCGTGAATAGCCTTGAATCTTGAAATCTTGAATTGACAGGTCTTGGTTGACCAGAATTGGACGTGTCCATCTTTGCCTGATGTGGTCAAGAGCGTGCATATTGTGCCGGGACTAATTCCCCGGCGCGGTGGGACATAGGAGAGTCGGGCCACTCGGAATGCCGCATATACTTCTTAGGTTCCTGAGATTGAGATACTTGGATTTGGAAGCTGTAAGGCGTAGTGTTCTACAACTCTATACAATATACATCGTAGACATGTCAGAGTACGATATAGTTCAGACGAGAAAGGGGTTCTAATCGCTAAAAAAAAGTGATCGAACGTTTCAACCGTCGGTTGATCGTGGTGATCTTTTCCCTTTTATGACTTGGCAGATTTCTTTTCTTGTCATGTTTTCTTTTTTCTTTTTTCGTTCTTTATGTCCGAATTGGATTTTGTACGGATTACGGATACAGAGGGGCATCTTCTATCTCAAGCTATCTCAATAACCCTAATGGAGCAGTTAAGATCCAGATTGTGGATGTGCCAATGTGATATCTTTTGCTCTGGAACCCAAAAATAAACCGGATGGAAGTCCACCATGCGGTAATACACCTATTGCACCGGTTGTTAGCCTTAGAAGTCGTTCTCCACTTGGCCCTGAAAGGTTCCAAGTTTCTACCTCCAATATCCCGGAAGTCTAAGGGGTCGATAGCTCCAAATGTGGACTTGGAGACCGGGGTAGAGCCAGTAGAGGCTGTCCTAACGCGGTACTCCCAATCGACACCCGGAAGCCTCCCGGCTCACAGTTGATCAGGGGTATATAAACAACCATGGCGATCACCTCTTTGGATCTTCAATTGTTCAACTGTCTTTCTCTCTTTCCACTCTTTCCAGTCTTTCCAGTCTATCGTTTTTGGCGGCTATTGCCTGCCTGTCCAATCTTTCGCTTCTGTATAATCCGTGTTCAGAAGTTATACTCCCAATCGCTTTTGCCCTATACATTCATTAATACACCACACAAAACTCGACATGCGTTCTTCACTTGTTATGCTCGCCGGTCTGGCCAGCTCGGCTCTCGCCTACCCTACCGATAGGGCTGTGGAGGCCCGTAACCTCGATCTCCTCGGTGAGCTCCTCGGCGACCTCACCCTCGACGTGACTGGTATCCTTAGTACCGTCCTCGAAGGCACCTCCGTTGAGATCTTCGCTGGTCTGAGTGCCCAGGGTGCTGCCGCTCTCTCGGGTGGTGCTCTCGGCTGCAAGGCCGGTGCCATCCACGCAAAGGCCAAGGCCGCCCTCAAGGTTTGGCTGCGTCTCCACGCCGAGATTGACACCACCCTCAAGACCTCCCTGATCGCCTGGTGTGACGGTCATGACGAGCTAGTCCTCTCCGCCGACGTCCTCGCTGCTCTGTCCGTCTACATCCCCGGATCTGCCAACATCGCCGCCAAGGGTCAGCTTTACGTGACTATCGACGGTATCTTCGAGGCCGCCAGCCTCGAGTCTGCTCTTGTCTTGAGCGTTGCTGCTCAGACTTCCCTCTCCGCTTGGGTTGAGGCTAAGGTTGACCTTGATGTCGACATCAAGGTCGGTCTGAATGTCTGCGCCGCTGGTGGTATTGTCGGCAGTCTGTCGGCTGACATCAAGGCTTCCCTGCTTGCTTGGCTCAACAGCACCGAGTGTGAGCTCAGCGCTGACCTCAAGGTTTCGGTCCTTGCCTGGATCAATGGCCGTGCTGGTGGTGAACTTGTTGAGATTGGTGCTCTTGCTGACACTGCTCTCTCCACCGTCTCCGTTGGTGCCTCCGTTGGCATCCACGTCCTAGAGTCTGGCCTCCTGTCCGTTGGCGGTCAGGCCTCCCTCGCCGCCTTCCTGGGCGTTGATCTCGCCGTTGCTCTCGGTGCTGATGTCAAGCTCGCTCTCGAGGCATGCGCCAAGGGCGAACTCGCCACCGCTGTGGAACTTGACGTCCGCACCAAGCTCGCCATCTGGCTCGCCAGCTCCGACTGCTCTCTGGGCGTTGAACTCAAGGCTGTCGTCCTTCTTTGGCTCTCCTTCGCTGTCGAGGCTGATGTCTCCGTTGCGCTCAATCTTGTTGATGGTGTCCTCGGTGATGTTACTGGTCTCCTGACCGATATCGTCGACGATCTCAGCGTCGACCTCCGTGGTGCCCTTTCCCTCTGCGCTGCCGGCGGTAGCCTCCTCGACCTGACCTTCAGCGCCCGTACTGAGCTCGCTGCCTTCCTCAGTGGCTGCACTTCCCTCAACATCGACGTCAGCATCCAGATCATTATCATCGAGTGGTTCACCGGCTGCAGCATCCCCGGCGCCCCCGCCGCCACTGCCTCGTCTTCCGTCCTCAGCCTGCCCTCCAGCACCCCCTACGTCGCCAGCACCTCCTCCGTGCCTTCCGGTGCCAGTGCCTCCGTTGGTCTGACTGTTTCCGCCAGTGTTCCCGCCGCCTCCGGCTCTGTCTCTGTTCCCTCCGGTTCCGATGCCACCAGCACCCCCTGTGCCACCGAGACCTCGGAAATTGTCAGCTCGACTGTGATCCCCAACCCTAGCGGCTCCGGTTCTCTCACTGCCTCTATCCCTGCCATCGCCACCGGTACTGTCCCTGCTGTGGTCCCCACCGGCGCTTCCCCTACCGGCACTACCGTCAGTGGTTCCGTTCCTGCTGGATCTGCCACTACCGGAACCGCTACCACCGTTGTCATCCCCGGCTCCAGCGGCTCCAGCGCCACCACTGTCACCATCCCCGTCACAGTCACCGGCACTGCCCCTAGCGGTTCTGCTACCACCATTGTGGTCCCCAACCCCAGCGGCACCTCTTCTCTCACTGTCACCATCCCTGCCCAGGCTACCGGCGTTTCCCCCACCGGTACCACCGTCGTCGGTGGCTCCGTTCCTTCTGGATCTGCCCCTAGTGCCTCGACCACCACCGTTGTGATCCCCGGCTCCAGCGGCTCCAGCTCCACCACCGTCACCGTCACCGTCCCTGCCGAGGCTACCGGCGTTTCCCCCACCGGTACCACCGTTGTCGGTGGCTCTGTTCCTTCTGGATCTGCCCCTAGTGCCTCGACCACCACTGTTGTGATCCCCGGCTCCAGCGGCTCCAGCTCCACCACCATCACCGTCACCGTCCCTGCCGAGGCTACCAGCACTGCCCCTAGCGGTTCCGCCACCACCATCGTGGTCCCCCACCCCAGCGGCACCGGCTCTCTGACCGTCACCGTCCCTGCCCAGGCTACCGGCACCGCTGCTACCACTGGTGCTTCCGGCGTCACTGCATCGGCCCCTGCCCCTACCAGCCCTGCCACCATCCCCAGCGGTGGAAGCACTGGTTCCAATGTCACCGAGACTGTCACTGTTACCGCCACCCTTCCCTCCGGCGGTAACACTGGCTCCGGCAAGGCCACTGAGACCGTGACTGTCACTGCCACCGTCTGCGGCTGCGAGTAAAGCAGACACCAATATACCTGGACATAATTCCGAAGCCACGACCACGAGGGCTCTCATATAGATTCTCCTTCATCAATACTGTTAATTTGCCTTTTTTGAGCCCTTTCCATGACAAGATGATTTTTGATAACACGTGGGGTGGTGGCTGCCCATCCCGATCTGCCGGCTCTCCGCCTCTGGCCTCTCTGTAGATATATAATTCTAATTCTAATCTGCTTCGGTGGAGATTGATATATCCTGTTTCTTACGTATATCGTACATCGTAATCTACTGTGCTTTTGAATGGTTATCATTAGAGTCTTCGGATATCTTGTAATTGATCATGTTCATTTCATATTACATTCCCATCTTAATCTGAACTACTCATCACACTAACTAGTTGGCTAAGACTAGCTACAATTTAGGAGACTGTCACCTTCCCCAGTATCAACCTTGGAAAAACATTCCACCTTACAGTATAACAGAGCATGTCGATCATGATAAAAGAATAATTGGAATGGTAAAGTACTCCGCACATGTACCGCGCTAAAACGCACTCATTTAGTCGGCGTAAATTTCAACGTTCAAGTCACACTCGTGCTCTCGTTTAGTCCTGCTTTGGCTGTGAGGCACTGCTCGGCTTCTGGGCAGCCTGACGACGCATAGCAATACATCTCTCCCGGAGTAATTTCTCACGGAATGCAGTCGACTGTGTCCAAACAGAAAGCGGTTTCTTAGTCTGAGCGTTGAAGGTTCATTAGTATATCATTCAACACAGCAATTTGAGAAACAAATGACATGTGAATTGTTTAGACGAACATTAAATAGGAATGAATCTGGGTAGTAAAGGATACAAGGTGGAGGTTGACCAGGAATCTCTATTCTCAATGACCAACCTGCTCAGCAACTTTTGTCTCACTGTCATCAGTTTTGGGCGGCTCATCAGCTTTCGGAGGGGTTCGGGTAGAGGAGACCTCATTCTCATCAGCCATCTTGCGTCGTTTGTCATCAGGGTTGTCTCTTTCCACAGAGAGCGGCCGCTTGCCGTCAGTATCCTTCTTGGGGCTGTTGCTGCGGCTGCGGCTAAGGCGCCGATCACCGCTGGGGCTGCGGCGTCGACGGTTCTCACCACGATCACGTGTACCGGTACGGTCAGGGGTGCGGCTGCGGCTGCGGCTGCGGCTGCGACTTAAGCGACGGGAATCGTGGCGGGCATAACGTCCAGACGGGCGGCGGGATCGCGAGCGAGATACACTGCGGCTGCGAGAGACGGAGCTTCGGCGGCGGTTTCCTCTGGGGGAACGTGAGCGCGGGGAACGGCTGCGGGAAATGGGTCTTGCTTTAACACGGTCACCGTAATCCGGACTGCTGCGCCTTCTCGCTCCTCCGCGGCGTCGCTCGGGAGAGACTGAGATGCTTGGGCGTTCGCGTCGTCTGTGGTGTGGTTCGTCGCGGTTTCGGCGAGATGGGGACGACGGCTTTGGGGTTCCAGATGGAGAACGGGTGCCGTGGGGAGAGCGAGAGGATCGGCGGCGCCGATTACCAGGTGGCACGTAGGAGTCCAAGTCGCGTCGCAATGGAGGCTCACGGAATCGGTCGCGGCTGCGGTTTCGGTCTCTGGGAGGCGAGAATCGTCTGTTGAAGTCGCGTCCTCGACCTCCACGGCCACCGCGATCTCCACGATCGCCACCTCTTCCTCCACGTCCACGGTCTGGTCGCTCGCGGCGTCTCACATCGTCCAGCTCTCGTTCGCGATTCTGGTCTTGTTCGCGTCGGCGACGAAGTGCCTCGCTGGCTTTCTCGGCCTCGAGCTGTAATGTAATATAATTAGAAAATATCCAAGGTCGAGAGCACGCTTACAATCACCTTCTCTTGTATGAGCTCAAGCTTTTTGGCTTCCAGGAGTTCCTTCGGGACGCCCTGTGGATTGGCCTGACCGCTTAGGCACAGCGACCACAGCTCCTGACAGAACTTGGCGGTATCTTTGTCTAGAAATCCGGTGAGTTGGATTTGGAGAGATTTAATATCGGGCTAGAACAGAAGCACATGTCAGCAAACTAGGGTTGGGACACTAAATATCCGACGGCACCACTTACGTAGCGTGCCCCCTCAAGATGCGCGAAGCAGAGCTCGATAACGACGTCATCCTCGTTCCCCAATATCTTGGAGATTTGACTTGCAATCCATCTGTGGGCGGAGAAAAAGCAATGTCAGTAAACCGGAGATACCGAAAAAAGCCCGGGGAAAGTCACTTCTTCATAACTTCGATATTGACCTTGGTCATATCTACCTTCTTGCTGAACTCAGGGGGGAACTTAGTCCGCCTCATCAGCTTGGCATCTACGCTGGACGCCATTTTTGCTAGAATCCAAGTTGAGGGTAGGAGAGTCCTTGATGAGCAAACATAAGACAGGTATTCACCGTGTTGGAACTGCATTCATGGTCACTCGCCGGTGCCGTAGATGGATATTTCGCCTCCGAACTCGCCGACAGTCTGAACACAGTCAGAACATCGACATCCATTACCTACGTGGGGAAAAACGCCTCTTGGCTAATCTGTTGGCCTATACTTGTCTGCAATCATTTTTTCTTTCTTTCTTATATCTTCTTTGAAAAGAAAATGAGAAGAAAATGGTATGCTAAGCTGATTCTTTATCTTTCTCTCTTGAAGTATATATGTGCCCTAATGAACGATCACTATGATTGTATGAACTCACCACTCTGTAGTACTTTTACAGTCATAGAGTGATAGAATTAATTCCTTACAATCTTGCTGCACTATGAAAGTCATATAATCTAAGAGGATATCATAATTTTGCATTCTTTGGAGTAGTTATATAGATTCATGGTCAACCACCCCAAAGCTATACTAGGCTACTCTGAATCCTGATAGCCGGAGAGTACGACAACGGCAAGTTCAGTCTAGTCTACGGAATAGACATAGCAGTAAGTGGAGGCTATCTGGTCGATCTCTAACTGCCCAAGGCTTTGGAATCACTCAAGGTACTGGACCACTTTACCAGAGAAAAATGGGCTATTATTGGCTAGAGTTATATCCATCTTTCGTGTTCAATGTTCTTTTCAAGCCCAGAATCAATTATTTCAATGTCCGCATGTTGTGGTGCAGACGTCGCCATAGCAACAACAAGCACGTGACTATATAGCGCGCCCGCGAAGAAACCCCGAGCCTGGGCTTTCTCCAAGATCAACAAACAATCGACAACTTTGGAGAACTTTGGAGGGGGCCGCATTGATTCACAACTTCAATGTAGGTATTAGCGGCATGGCATCCCCGAATTCCCTCCCAGCATACAATGAACTGTACCGACAGCCACCCCGACCGATGTCCCGATCCGCGGTTTCACGCTCGGGTTCCAGACGGGTATCTCCTTCAACACAAGCTATGTCCAAACATTACTCTGGGGACAGCTCCGACGAAGAGGTCCCAGAACCTAAATTCAGCGCTTCTGTAAAAGCATTGTTGCATGGAGATGGATTAGGTTCTTCGCCTCATCTACACAAGGCACACGTACACGAACCTCGAATTGAAACATCAAGACATCAAAGCCGCTCACCCCGGAATTCGTCCCCACACGACTCATCTAATGGTAGTCCGGCCCCAAGAGTCGTCCGTGTAGGGGCTCTGTCGTCGAGTTCTCGATTCTCGCGCGAAGGCTCTCCATTATCAAATAGCCAGAGCGCAGAACCAGAGCACCATAGCCGCCCAAATGATTTTATCACTCCCGCCCCACGCCAACGGAGTGTTCGTATCAACGTTTCGCGCAGCAACACCCGATCCCCGGCCTCTGTCTCGCCTTCAGGAAAGCGCTCGTCGGAACGCAGTTCGGACGATTACTATGGTAGTGCCGAGCGCTCGGATAGTGATCGGAAATCGCAATATGAAGATGACCCAGCGCTACGATATGGCGTTTCTTCTGCACTGCGGGGCCGTGGCGGCGAAGAATTCGCTCCACACAGCTCATTACGTGTCAAGCGGGTTGGTCGGCTTGCTGGCACTTTCTTGAATGGCCCAGCCCGGAGGGGCGTGCTAAGACGTCAGAGCGAAGAGAGTAACGAGGAAAATCACCAATATCTCTCAGCTGATGGTGTCCGGGAAGATGTCGAAGGAGAGGAGGAGAATGCCGAATACCGACCTCGCAATCCAGCAAAGCCTTCATCCCCTAAAGTGTCATGGGCTGACCCAAGCCCGCCTCTTGTGCGTGAATCCAATCGACGAGAATATCCTCTCCGCCCTGCTGAGGTCGAAGGGCCGTTTTCGAGGTCATCTTCGCCAAAATCATACGGCTCAAAGTCCACTCCCGCTTCATCAGATTTGTCCTCTAAATCCTCGATTGCGAAGGAACAACCTGTATTCAAGGTTCCTTCAATACCGGCTTTGCCATCGGTACGTGACCAAGAGAATGAACCACCACCAACTTTCCGGCGTACAAAGCCCCAAGGGTTGAGTATGCTGGATAAACCCGAAAAGTATCATGTTGTTTACGATACCGAGAAGAACGATATAGCAGAGACCCCAGCAACCAACTCTGCACGAAAGATACTTGCCACGCGAAGCAACAACACCCCCCATAGGGCCGCTCCTCCTCCTCCGAAAATGTCAGTCCTTGAGACTGCCACATCCACAGGAGGCGCATCGACATCACAATCACGAAAAAAGAAGAGTCAAGTCTCAATTAATGGCAAGCATTTCACTCGACTCGATTGTATTGGTCGAGGCGGTAGCTCCCGTGTCTACCGGGTGATGGCAGAGAATTACAAGATCTTCGCTCTCAAGCGTGTCAATATTGAAGATGTTGATCCAGTGACTTTGAGTGGATATAAGGGCGAAATCGACCTGTTGAAGAAGTTGGAGAATGTGGACCGTGCGGTGCGCCTGTTTGACTGGGAGCTGAACAATGACAAACATGCTCTGAGTCTGCTTATGGAGATCGGAGAGTCTGATCTTGAAAAGATTCTCACATACCGTTTAAACGCTGAAGATGCTGTTTTTGATATCAACTTTACCCGATTTTATTGGAAGGAGATGCTCGAGTGTGTCCAGGCTGTCCACGAGCACAATATCGTCCACTCCGATTTGAAGCCGGCTAATTTCCTCATGGTTCAAGGCCGGTTGAAGCTTATTGACTTCGGAATTGCAAATGCGATCCAAGATAATACAGTCAACGTTCATCGTGAACAGCAAGTTGGCACACCTAATTACATGTCCCCCGAGGCGTTGGTTGATTCCAACGTGTCCCTCGGTTTGCCTTCAAGTCTTGGAAAAGTTATGAAATTAGGAAAACCCAGTGATGTTTGGAGTTTGGGTTGTATTCTGTACAAGATGGTCTACGGACAACCACCATTCGCCAAGATCGCCAAATATTATGAACGCATCATGGCTATCCCCAACCCCCGTGTACAAATCGATTTCCCGGCCTTTGGTGTCGGTGGCATTCCAGTACCCCCTGGTCTTGTCCGGACTCTCAAGCGCTGTCTGCAGCGTGACCAGACTCTCCGACCAACTATTGAGGAGATGCTTGGCCCACGCGATCCCTTCTTGCACCCCGATGCCCAGCTTGAGGGTGCTGTTCCAGTCACCCAGGATATGCTTGGTCGTATCCTGGTCAACGTCGTCAACCACTGCAAGGCTCGCGGTGTGCCCAGAGAAGAGGAGCTAGCTGCATGGCCCGCAGGCTTCTTTGCAAAAATCAAAGCAGCCCTCGAAGAAGAAAACGCATGATAACACCCAGCCGCTCCTTCACTTTATTTCCTTTGTCTTGAATGCCTTATCGGCTTTTTCCCATCCCTTCTTGGTTAGAACGACTTAATGACTGGTGTTGGATATATTAATTTCTTTCTGTCTTGGTCTGCTTGGTTAATTTGCGGGATATCTGATTGTCTGTTTCTTTGCATTGTCTCTTTCTTCTCTTTCTTCTTCATCATCCTCCGGGTTGATTGTCCGACCTAACCACGTTGTCTTGTGGTGGGTATTTTGACGAATTTCGGTTTCAGCGCAGCGTGTGGATGTTCATTCCTGTATATGATTTCATTAGCCTTTTCATCTTTCTCCTGCATCCGGATGGATACTGCTTGAGTACCATCGTTTTTGGAGTGACAATAACTCCTCATTTGGTTAAGATGTTTAATTGACAAGCTTTGTCTATCTTCATTACTTGGATATTGCGTTTCTTATCCTGTGGGTTATTTGGAAGTCTTTGATCCATGATCTTTACAATGGAGCTGCTGCTTCTTCATAAAATCATAGTTGATAAATGCCTGACTATCTAAAAACTAGCTATGTCCATTAAGAAGCCAAACATGCGGAATACTTTTCGTTTGAAATCAATGGACTTGACTTTGCGCCATTAACACCGCCCAAGAATGAAACAGTCTTGAGACCGTATGTATCAAGAAAGGGAAATATAGAACTGCCTGAGCATGGTATCGAAGACAGGCGCGTGCCTGCCGGGAATGTGGAGGAAGTGCTTGTGGTCAATTTAGACAAGGAGAACCCTATTTTACGTTAGTTTGAGCTGTATATAAATAATAGAATAATTGATCGAAGCAACTCACGCATTAACACAGCCGTCGTTCTCAGGGGTGTTGGTAATCTGGGCCCATTTACCCCAGACAACCTTGCCGGAAGTGGTAACGAGACCCAACTCGGAGACGTTGACTTCAATGATTGTTCCCTTTGTCAAAACACCCAGCTGGGTATAGAGAGGGTTCTGGGGGTTCTTCTTGACAGACAGGATGGGGAGTTGCACGGTGACAGCCAGCTCGGGACTGAAGAAAAAGTCAATATACCATATCCAACCAAGATGAACCGGAGGGTGAGTGCTCTCCCTCCAAAGATAAAACATACTGTGTGACATTACACTTCTTGTAACGCAGACCCATGGGACGAATGAACCGCTCGTATTTGACGGGGCGACGGGTGAAGTCGTTACCAACGAACGTAGGCTTGGTGATCATACGCTTCCAGGCCTTCTTGTGGGTCTTCTTTCCGGTGTTGATAACCTTGAACATCTCCTCCTCGCTAATACCCTTGACCTTAGGTAGGGGAACAGCAAACTTAGCAGCCTTCTCATTACGCTTGTTCTTGATAGCACTGGAGAGGGCCTTGGCGTTGGTCTCCTGTGAGCGATCGAGCAGGTACTGGGGTAGAGGAGTCTTGGAAGGCTCGTCGGGCGCGGCGGACTTGACATTCTTCTCCTCCTGGGCCTTGATGCGCTTCTTCATCTGGATCTTCTCCTTGTGGCGACTCTGCTGGTACAGCTTGGCCCGCAGACCACGCAGGTTCTGGGCATCGTGGGACGCCTTGTGTCCCTCACGAGCCTGGCGCTTGCGCAAGCGCTCATCGTGATCGAGGCGCTTGCCGTGCTGCTTCTGCCAGCGTTCGATATACCTGGGAAAATGTCAGTTGGAGATCGGGCGGTGGCTGGCGGGGAGGGACGAACTCGTTCTGAGGCTATAGGCAGAAAAAAAGTTAGTAAATGAAGAAATTGAACATTGAGAGGTCAGAGAATCATTTGGAGCTTACCATGATGAACGACGAATGGACGACAAGAGGTGAATGGGGGAGGAAGTTCTTGCCTTGAAGATCTAATCGAGACCGAAAAAGTTGTGATGCGGGAAAAAGATAGCGAACCACGTGATGCTCCTTATCGGTAAGGTCGTTTCTCGACTTCTTCGACTTATTCAGATTGAAAAAGAAATATTGAACAATGGTAGAATATTGAACATTTAAGACAACTGACTTTCTATCAGGTTATATCATTTATTATTACAATATTGGTCTCTTCTCGCTGCAAATCTGCATCCTCAAGTCACTGATAGATAATCACGTGATGCTACGGGCGACAAAGCGGCCATTCGCGCAAGTTGAATTTCTCTAGTTACGGGGATGCCGCTCTTCTATCTCGAATATCGACCACTGCGAACCACTTTCACTCTCGATAATTGAGTATTGACAAGCAGTCAATTACTATGTTTTCACGATCTGCTCTACGGGGCCTGGCCTCCGAAGTGCGTTGGACTGCACCATCTACAATCTCATCCGCTGCTCCCCTGCAGCAACGAGCATGCCTTCACCAGAGTGCATCTTTGATGAACTCGCAACCTCAGAGCCAATCGGCTTCCAGCCACCCGGAATCACCTCTCAGTGCCACTCCCCGGGCGCAAGATACCCAACCGAAGACTCGTGTCAAGGCTCCCACTTTTGACGAAACCATGACACCCCAAACACGCGCACACGTTCCCATCGCAAAACAACCCGTTGCCCCGACTTTCACCTCCCCTCTCGAAGTGACCAAATCTCTCATGTCACAGCTTCCCCACCTTGCCGGCCAGAAGCCGCACTACATCGTCGCTCAATTGCACGCACGACCATACCTCTTGACAGAAGGTGATCACATCCGGTTGCCCTTCCTCATGCCTAAGGTCAAGGCAGGCGATATTCTGCGCTTCAACCGCGCTTCGGCACTCGGATCCCGCGACTTCACAATGAAGGGCTCACCGACTATCGACGAGCGTATCTACGAGTGCCGCGTTCGTGTGACGGGTGTGGATGCGGAGCCGCTGCGCATCAAGGAGAAGACCAAGCGGAGACAACGGCACGTGAAGCAGGCCAAGAGCAAGCACCGCTATACGCTCATGCGTGTCATGGATGTGCGGGTGAAGACGCCGGATGAGTTGTTGGCGGAAGGCGCGGTGATCGTGGATGACGCAGCGGACAGCTCAGTAATTGAACCCCGGTCATAATTGGGTTGTTCGGTGTTTGGGAGAAGCTTTTGGGGCAAAATCTGATGCCGGACCATGACATGACAGTGGTCCGAGGTATTGACAGTACTAGTCGAGATATGGTCTGATCTTTGGGCTGTTGGTAATTGTCTTGCCGCGATGCATTGATATATTTGCGGCATATTGTACAGATAGATGGATGGCTGTTTTCCGTATGCATTGTATTCTATAGTATTGAACTTTTCTGAAGATCTCTCTATTGCAATAGTGTAGGGCCCGTCACCGTCACATGAACGCTGGGTTTCATTCAAGCCCAATCTCATCACAATCTTCTCGGCAAATGCATACACCATACACTGGCATACCATCGTCGAGGCCCGGAGGACCTAATGAAAGCATCTGACAACACCGAAAACGAGGTAGAAGTGAAGCAGCAGCGATACTTCGTATTGATGCCATTAGTGATGCTCGCTATAAACGTGAATATCAAAGAGCAACCAACTACTTGTCTGAAGATTGAAACAGACGCTATTATCACATTATCACAAAGCGCTTATCCTACACTATAATCTTCTTCAACTGCAGTTTCTGCCTACAGATTTCCAACGATTTCTGTTGCATCTCGGCATATAGATGGAACTCATCGGCAACACATGCCCCAAGGAGCCGCTGGAAACCATCGAGGTCCGGATCCGCGCTCATTATCAGTTGCTTGGACTGGGAGACACCACCCAAGTTGGAATTGAAGATCCCTCCTGCGGATAAAGGAAGGAAGTCTTCGTATGTGATAGGCTCATAACTCAGGATCTTTTTGTTGAGTAGATCCTGAAGTGAGATTGAAGGAAGTTGCTCCGATAATACAACGCTTTCGTTAACCGACTGATCGCCCGGTGGTGTCAACTGATAGGTGAAATATCCCAGCCTCAGATCGTGAAGGTCCGATAGACTATCGGGAAACTCCTTGAAGCGCTCTTCTAGTAGTCTGTCATAGGCCTCTCCTTTCAAGTCATCCTTCGCAGCTTCTGCATTGACTTGGTTCAAGATTCGATCATAGAGATGGCGTCCTTCTCGAGTCAAAGCGTAGCCTCGCTGCTCCACTTCACCAAAGCGTGCGGTGTGGGAACCCTTCACATAGAAACCAGACGGATCCCTGAAATATACAGTTTCCTCCAGCGCCTTGAAGCTTGTCTGCCGCAGAAGGATTGGGCACGATCGTTTTGGCGGTCCCTCAATACGATCCTTGACAGGCATGCCGTGATCCAACATCAATCGTTGTACAAGATCGATATCAATCGTCCGAGGCGTTAAGTGGTTAATATGGCAGTTTGGAAAAGAGACAACATCCGCAATCAGAGGATGCTCAGCTTTAAGCTGCTCATATTCTTCAAGGCTGACCGTTGCTTTTGAGTGCCACCTGAATGTCTCTAGACCATTACTGATGAGCTCTGTGCATTGATCTGGTGTCAGAAAACCCTGGCTCTCTGCGATATCCAACAGAGCAAGCAGTCTGGGCGTAAAGATGTCTCTTTGCTCTAGCGCTTTCCGTGCTAGTTTCCGGGTTCTTTCTGTCAAAAGATCCATTCGCAAGACCGTCGTGAACACGCGAAATGGGTTCTTATCGAGCGCCTCTTGGGTATTTGGTCGGAAGGCCGTAGCGTGCATGGGGAATCCAGCGAGGCTGAGGTCATAGTAGCCCACTGGATGCATGCCCATCACAGCAAACATGCGACGAATTGTAGCTAGCTCATGCGCTGTTCCCAGTCGGATTGCTCCGTGTCTTTCAACCCGATACCGGGCGGGTAGAATATCGTCTGGGTTTATAACGCGAGCACCGTCGATGTTCTGGCTGTTTTGGACTGTTTTTGCGTCTGCTTCCCAGACTACATCGATCAGATCGCCGTAAAGAGGGACTTCGCTCTTGTACATTTCCGAAAGCTCATGACAGAAGCGCGATCGCAAAGTGTTCTGATCGAAGGCCATCCTGAGGTTTGTGAATGCTGATCGGGTCAATAGTGAGGAATGAGGCACGTAATATTGAAGAAGTATGTTATAATATTTAGTAAGTATTAGATACAAAATGTCCTATCAAAAAGAAGAGACCGCTCATTTTATATCCTTGGAAGTTGGAGGTGCATTGACTCAAAGCAGCTGATACCAACTCGCCATGTTTACCCGCTATCTAACGGCTTCCGTCGGGGAGATAAGTCCGCATTTGGCCAGTTGCACTCGATTTGTATGTTTAAATATAGGAAGTTGGGTAACCGGAGACTCTTGCTTGATACAAGATATCAAGGCACGGAGTACTTACGGCCAATCAGTTTCTTAGAACGAAGGGTCTTGAACAGCCTCCGAAAATGTTCATGCTATATGAATCATTCTTTATAGATCATCTATTGTAGAAGAGATCTCTTTAGATGCTCACGATTCAAATTCCGAGTGTACAATTATTCTGTTTTCGAGAGTCAAGAGATTCATGATTGGCCGGGTGTACCTTTTATATGTAGACCTAATAGAAGTACACCGCACCTTAGGCAAGAGTTTCCGTGGGGTCTCTAGTCAGGCTGCGGCCGCTGCGTACATGTACTAGATATTTAACTACTCTCTGCCTGGTAAGCTTTTATATAATATACTCTATACTATAACTTCGAAGAATGTGCTGGGAGCAAAGTATATCGGATATCATCCGTCGGAAGATCGCCTTCCGTCGGAACAGCATACGGGACATTGGTGTTGGTATTCAAATCATTCAAACTTATTCTTTAATAAGTAAAAGTCAAAGCTAGTTATAGTTAAGTAGACTTAATATTCCAATACTATATTCCAAGTCTGTAACGGTAGGAAGGAGCTGTCCTTCTCATATGGATCATGGCTGGGTCCTAGATGTATATCCCAGTAGTAGTGAGATCATAACATATGATTTTTTTTCTTTTCCCTTTTCCATTCTCTTTTCCAAACAGACCTTAACACCAAATGCCTTCCCCAGACCCCGCAAAATCCCCACGCGAGGTGAAGAAGTTGAAGATTGGCGATTGGTTCGGTAAAGGGGTGTTCCACTTCCACTTGGGCCAACACCTTCTTTCTCATTAGACTAGGCCAGGGGAGATCACCGTCCGCTTCTCAAAGTGCAGAGATCTATAATAAGCATGGACGCGCCTGAAGGCAAAGCACGATGGGCCTCGCAACGTCGTGCGCCGCGGGCCTCGCGGGCATGTGAAACCTGCCGTGCTCGGAAGACCAAGGTAAGCCAAACCTCACATTGAAATTGCAGTCTCTTTTTAGCTTCCCTTTCGGAAAGCAAGTCCACTCTGACAATTAATAGTGTGATCAAGCCCAACCATGTTCTTATTGCGCATGTATTAGTCCCACGTATTGAAATGCCGAGGTAGTAGTTGACCCGGGACAGATCACTCGTTTGACTGCGTATTCCGCACATCTGGTGGGCGCGGAACCCCCATCGATTCAAATAAAAGAAAACGAGATATTGCAGAATCCGACCAAAGGTTGGGATTTTCATCAAATCTTTTTCCGAGCATCTCTAACCAGGGGCAAAGCCAAAGTAGCGCCAGGCCATCTCCATGGCCGGGGATATATCAGACCGAGACACCAAAAGGCACGAACGACCCCGAAAAGTCACTGCCGTATACTGCTTCTTCGCAGGCCCAGTCTCCAAGTTTGTTGAGGGGCCGACCTTATGCTGTCAACAACCCACCCAGATCAACGATCCCGTCGGCTAGGCGATCCGACGCTTCACAAAGTGGGCACCGCCCTCTCCGATACGAATAACTAAACTGACCACCTATATAGTGCCAAATTCGGAGCAAGGTGATGCTGCGTCAAGAGATGGGCTAAGTGGGGTCAATCTGCATACTAATGGGACCGAGTTCTATGGTAACTCGTCAAACCTGGCATTCCTGGGTAATCTATACGCAAGAGCACAGAATCAAGAGCTCAGATATCAAAATCGTCCCGATGAGACTCCTCGACAAATTCCGGCGTCACCGGATTATACTAATCCTCAATCTCAGCCTTTATCGCGAGAAACGAGCTACAAAAGTAGCAGGAGGTCAGGCAAATCACAACTCTCCATCGTGAATTTACTTTACAATGCAGACTATATCGGGCATCCTTCGCCCCAATCCCATGATGGGACAGACTTTGCAGCACAGAGAAGTCCGCCAGATGCAGATGGTCTCGAAAACAGGACCCCTCCAGTGAATAATGGTAGATTTCCCTTTGTCTTTCAATGCCTATCACAGCCCGTATGAATTTCTGACCGGATTAACAGACCAAGACATCAGTCTAGAAGCTTTATTTCCCCGCCTTACAGAGAGTGCGCAGATGGAGATCGAGAAAACCTTCATCAGCAGCTACTTTGTGAACAAGCATTACATCCACCCACTACTTTCGAAAGGCACTTTTATGCAACGATGTGAAAATGAAGCATGGTCAGTTCCAAATCGCCAGGGACTTTTCCGAGGTACCACGAAATTTGCTGGGCTATACTTTGCGGTCGTTGCTCTGGGCGCGATCAATGCAAGCTCGAACGAGACTTCCTTACTACAACATTTCTGTCAGCAATTTGTCGATCCAAGTCAAACACGACGAGCTCGGGGGGGACCGGGGTTCACGGCCCTTGACTTTGCGAAGTACTTCTTCGGCCTCGCAAAACGGACTCTGGGTGATCTTTTTGAAAGTTCCTGTTTGGAGTCTGCCCAGTCTCTTCTTCTTTTGGTACGTCCATGTCGATTTTACATCAGAAGGAGGCTGACAAGTCTTCCTAGAGTGTGTTTCGTCAAAATTCGTTGCAGCCCCATAGCTGTTATATGTATAGCGGGATGGCTGTCCGCACAGCAGCGGCTATTGGTCTCGGTTCGAGCATGTCTTCTCTGCCTCCCAGTGCGAGACGAGAAGCTAGGCGTACCTGGTGGTAAGCATGAACATAAAGCTAGGATGAATAAAAAATCTGACGCTTCTATTTAGGTGTATCTACTCTCATGAGATGTGAGCGTCTATCTCGTGGATCGTACTCCCGAAGATGATACTAACGTCGATCCCAGAGAAATGTGTTGTTCCTCTGGACGCCTGGACAGCATGAAAGCGTTGCATTATTACCAGACCTCCCTTCCCAAGCTAAAAGTAGGTGCCATTCTCAATTCGCACGGTGCAACCCTGACAGTACCAGGTTGATACCGATGACTTCGACCCTGATGCCGAAGACAATGACATAGCGATGATCCCGGCAATGGTTGCCCTAGCCCAGATCATGTCTGAAGCATCTCATCAACTGTACCACTCCATGCGGCGGTCAATAGCCGATAAGTCCCGTCTGGCTATGGCACTTGACCAGCGACTTCTTGAATGGAAGGCGACACTACCGGCTTTCTTGGATCTAGATGCACTTGCATTGAATGACCCTGAATGGGCGTTCAAACAGAAATTGGTGTTAAGGCTGAGTGAGTTCCCTCTACATGATCCATGCTCCGATTTAGCAGATCCTAGAAAGAATCCTGATCGTACCATGTCTAGGATATTACAATACTCGAATCCTCATCCACAAGCCATTCCTTTTGGCAGCAACTGCAAATACAGACGGTTCCTCGCCAGACCTTTCTGCCCATCTACATACTTGCCTCAATGCTGCCCGGATGAGTATCAATATGCAATACGAGTCATTCATGCATAGGATCTACATTCGCACATGGTCAGCCACCACCTTTTCCTCCTAAGAAACTACAATTAACAAACTCACCATTGAAACAGGTGGTACAACACAACCTACGCACTCTACGGGTCAATGATCCTCCTCCATCTCATCCTCTCAAACTACCCAGGTCTCCCAGACGACGAACTCCTCGAAGACGTCGAAAAATCCCTCGAGATCTTCTCCTCCATGGGCGATATTATCGTCGCCCGTCGCTGCGCCGAGATGCTCCGTGAAGTACTAGAAGTTGCGCGCACTTGTCTGGCTAGAAGACGGCGCTCTGTCTATGGAGCTAACCACAGCGAAGACAGCCAAAACCAAAGCCAGTACTCTAGACTCGGAGTGCCATACACATCATCATCAGGGGGAGTCTCAAATTCATCACAAGCAGCAGCAGATGCAACCACATCAACGCGGAAGCATCTAATTCCAAATTCAACGCCAACAGGAGGCGAGGTCGGTCTACCAGCGGCATCATTTACACCCACGCACGGATTATCCCTCGACACCCCATCATCTATTATGGACCAACGTACTGATCCAGAGGACGGGGATTTCTTCTTTTCACTCTTCAGCAACGGCACGCAGACACAACCTGATCGAACGCGGGCGGAGATGCTGGCCAATTTGGTGGATCCGAGTGTTTTGGAGGATTTTGCCTTTGGAGGTGGAAATGAGTTCTCTTTCTTTTAGTTGGGAGTATACCAAGCGTATCAAATGAACAAGATCATCCCAGCCTATGTTTCTCCGTCGCTTATTACTGAGAGAAGACTGCTATTAGTACCACCAATTACAGCAAATACACTAGCACTTAGCAAACACAAGACCAAGGTAAGGTAAACGTGACCACACTTTATCCTCACTTTCACATCTCTTATTTCACCACACCACTACCAACTCTCTTCACTCTCTTCAACACACTTCTTCGTCATCCCCTATCCCCCCCCTCCCCCTCCTTTGCTACCAGTGTAACAACTAGTAGCATATCCGAGTCATTCTAGGAGTATCTCATTCGAGAAGGGTCCCCAAATTCCACTTTTCTTTTCATCGACACCCGCATTGACCAACGTATTTCGACTTCACGAGCGATGTTTAGAGAGACTGATGGGCAATGGGTCACCCAAGTCATTCTCTAGGCATTTGGTCTGCCTTTCCTTGCAATCTACGCGGACTACTATGTATGTCATGGCTAGTGCCACCTTCAGACCGTATCTCTAGCTAATCATGAAACAGCCCGACTGCCAAATGACACAAAGGATTCCAATCAATCTCATCCTGCGGCACTGGTAACCAGTGCTACATATATCTATTTAGGTGGTGCTGCAGCCGCGCCACCAATTACCCATCACCCATCATCCTTTCGTTGGACCTTTTCAGCAATCCTTTCAGGTATGATTCTTCAGGTCCTTTTGAGTGTGCTTTCAGGTTTCCTTTAAACCATCATCATATATTTACTGATGATTCACAGAAACTCAAGCTGAAGATATCAACACGCTTGAAGTCGTCAATCGCCCGGATCGCACCCAAGACGTCTATCCAGTGACAAAGTCAGAACCTCGAGTCTTCCCTCAAGACCATCCAAATCCAACAGTCAACAGTCTAACAACACTGCCCAAGTGGGCTACAATCTGTTCAGCCCCTCTTCACGTTGGCCTTCTAGTACCAGCTTGCAATGGCCTACCGTTGTTGTTGAAACGGGCTTATCCGAGAGCCTGCAATGACTTCTTCGAAATCTAGATGATGGTTCAGAGCCTCTAAGAGAAGCAAACATAGTGGTTATCATATCTATCAAGAAGACCGCTGTTCATTTTGAACAATGGTGGCTTGCTCCACCCATGCCCCAGCCGTGCAATATGCAGCAGCCATATTCATGTGCTGAAGTTGATGTGACTAAAACCATAGTCGATGGTGCCCCATGACAATACCATCCGGGAGTCTTGAGTCTTGACACCAACAACCCCGATAAGACACCTGGAGATGACAGCCTGTCTTAGTGATATCACTGCAGTAGCTCCGATAACACACCAACACGTCTGAAGGCGCCCGAAAATACCTGACCAAGACCAAGACCACTAGCACTAGCACCAGCAGCTAGTCAGGTAGTTCGCTGCCAATGATGAGGAGCTGTGTTGAGTGTCCTACAAACGCCATACTCAAAATGGCAACCATATATAACTATCCCGTCGGACAAGTCGATTCTTGTCGTATCGAATGTGAGTTCATTTCCTTTTCCTTTATCTATGAGCATTACTGACAGTCGTCTTACTAGGATCCCTCAGTCTGACTGGCCAACACTCGATGATATCCGCAAACCCCGGTCCATCTCTCTCTGGGGAGTTTGGCAAGTAACGGACGCCAACCTGATCGAGTCAGCATCGGATGGTCTGCCTTTGCCTGTTACGGTATCGTTGTGTTCAACCACACACCGCCACAGACGAAAACCAGACAAAGCTGGGCCTTCCACAAGAATGTTCTGATGAATCTCTCGGGGATTCTCGAAGAGCCCCAGCGCCGGACAACGCATTGTCCAGTCGGGAGAAGCACTTTCTATGCAAGTTGAAAAACAAAACAAAAAAAAAAAAAATCGTGCGAGCGTGAAGAGCAAGAGTTGAAAGCGTTATTGAGTGGTGTCGTCCTCGAACAGGATCGTCAAATAAAATCATAATTCATATCATCCACTCTATATACATAGGCTGTCTAATAACAATAACAATGGCGAAAACAAACCCCGAAACAAAGCAAGCATAGCATAACATAACAAAATCCGGTCCAATCCAGACCATATATGCATTCATTCCAAAGCCAGGGTAATTCCGTCATAGCAAAAAGTAGGTAACGAATTTTAGTGTCGCTGCGGGGCAAGGCAAGCAGTGAGTACATGGGGGTACATGCACAACATAATCAATCATTTCAAATAGGTAAATCAGGCGCTTCATCCCAGGAAATCAAGAACAAGATCAAATTCCGGAGAAAACGCCGGAGCAAAGGGGAGTCGTGAGAAGACATCAACGAAAGAAAGAAAGGGCTGGAAATGAGGTAAGGGATGCGAGGGGGCACGGAGCAAGGTATATGAAGAGAAGAGAGGAGAAGGGATGGGAGAGAGGTTGACGGGATCATCATCATAGGGGCGCCATAGAGGCTTCCCCTTCCCCATCCTCCATATCACTAACAGACGTAGCCGGCGACGCCAGACCCGACATAACCGAGCTCGAAGCGGCCGTGCCAGCAGCCTCCATCATAGCGTCATCATAAGAGCTAAGCGTGGTAGGAGGCATGCGCGGCGGCGCATTCTTACCAGACGACGCCATCAGCTCGGCGATACCAGGCTTCGCGGGGACGTGCTTGTGCAGCGCGGTGGCGTTGTCCAGACTCTGCAGGGCGAAGCCCATGAACTCGGCGTTCTTGTGGCTGACGCCTAGCGTCCAGCGGTACTCGCACAGCCGGACGCGGTAGAAGTCAGCCTCCTCGTTTGTCGGCGCGGTGATGCGGAGCAGCATGCCGAAGGAGCCGATGAGGGAGAAGTTGGTGCGGGCCGAGGCGGGCCAGAACGAGCGGAGGTGGGCGGGGCGCAGGCGGTTGACGAAGTCCATGGCGGAGATCAGGCGGGTTTTGGCTGCGGAGCGGCAGATGTGTGCCAGGTACTGGTCTGTGCCTTCGGCGAGGAGGGAGCGGACGATGCAGCGGTGAAGGGTTATTTCGGTGGCGAAGTAGGCGAGGTGGAGGGCGCCGTTGCGGGCGTGTTCGTCTGTTATTGTTTCGACGAGTTCGCCGGTGGAGGTTTCCATTTTGAGGGATGCTGGGAGGGAGGAGAACCAGTCTTTGAGCCGGATTTGGGCTGGTTTGGCTTTTTCTAGGATCATGCGTGTGCGCTGGTTTCCGGCGGCGGAGAACTCTTCGATGGCGTGCAGGGTGTAGAACCGGTCGAGGATGTCGGAGAGGATGGTGGTTAGTGCGACCATGTGACAGAAAAGCAGAGGGCCGTGGCCGACGGCGGTTTCATCGTGTGACGAGTCAGTGCCGGAGGCAAAGGCGTCCGAGAAGTCCTGCTCCACGAGATCCTTGACCGTCCAGTTGAACGCGAAGATATGCGAGGGTCGGCCGTGCACCAGCGATGACCATTTATCCTGCATATACAACGCCCACGCGAGACGTTTCCGCAGGCCTTTCTCCCAGGTCTCCATACGCCAGTTTGTGCAGTCCTGGTGCAGACCCAGCTCGAACGCGGCCGTGACCAGCTGGCCGTTTAGCGATGCCGTAGCGAGAGTCGACTTTTGTGTCAGCAGGAGCCCGGCTTGGATGGTGGATACACTGGGGAATTGCAACGAATCCATCAACAGCTTCAAGGCCGAAGCCTCTAGTCGTGCGGCATCGGGCTTACGCGCAGTTTGCGAGGTGACACCGACGTCGACAAACTTCAACGTCAAGACGTAGACTGCGGCGAGGAGTAGCGGCGAGAGGCCACGGCGCTCGCGGTATGATTGGCGGAACACTTCCTCTATCAAAATCGGGAACGAGGGGTGCACGTGCTCAAAGAACTTCTCGATCAGTGTGGAGCCGTAGGGAGCGACCATGCTCTCGATAGCATCGAGTGACACGGCATGCGAGTCCGGCACGGTGTCGACGACGCGCATGAAGGTGCCGTCGTCGGCACATCTCCGCACGCGCGAGTTGGCCACGGTGCATTCGTCGTATTCGTCCAGTGGCAGATAATCCAGCAAGGTGGGCTCCAGCTCCGTGGTCATGCCGATATACTGGGTTGATTGGTTAAAAAACCCGGGGCGAATCATGTTCACTGCTAGGTGAGACTCCGTCTCGGGGATACAGTGCTGCATTGAAGGTCTGGGGATTGTTAGGGCACGATTTCTTTCTACATATAGAGGCGTATATCCCCCGGTTGGAATGCCATACCGCTTAATGCCTTCTGCAGGCTCCTGGCCGTCCAACTTCCTCTTCTTCGACGGACCCTCGTGAGTGTGGGAGAAGGTACACTCTTGGCGATGAAAGTCGCATGAGTAGCATTTATTGACCATTTCGTTCATGGCACATCTGCTCTTTCTGCGGAGACAGGCGTCACAGCTGGCTCCATTCCGTGCGCGGGGGAGGGTCGAGTTGATGGAGATGGGGGATGGAGAGAGCACTGGGGTCGAGCCCGTCTTTCGGCGGAGATCAGGAGAATGGGTTTGGGAATATCCCGGCTGGAGAGTGATAACGGTAGCCATGTGGACGGTGGACCGGAGCTAGCCCTGAGGCACGGGCAAATAGGAACGGAGATCGAAGGTGATAAGGGTCTTCACGGAGCACGGAGTTGTGCTCCAGACGTGTAACTCCGCAATCTCTTGGGATTCTTTTTTCTGAATATACGGCGTCAGTCATTGGATCACGTCGTGATAAGCCCGGCACATACGCTTATCAGGGAAAACAGGTGTGTTATCTGATAATCCAGAGCCGGCACCGGAGATCAGAGATATATCAGGCGGATGAGCCTGCAAGTGACTTCAGCAGGATGAGATGTCGAATAGTTCGCTCCGTCATTCCTAGCCGTTACGAGATGTGGTAAGTGAGGGAGAAGGAGGGAAAAGAGGGAAATCAATGACATATCGACCTAATAGGTAATATAAACTATGGATGAATCCCGAAACTCGTTACTTTCCCGACAACCAGACGATCAGCTTTTTGCTCTCGTAACGGAAACCCGCCCGAGCAGCCATTGACGGGCAATTATGACACTTTAATTGTCAACGATAAGCGGTCCCTTGCTGATTGGTTCTGAATGCAGACATTGCATTACGTACAGAATATTGTTAGGTCATCATTTCACGTAGGGCATCCATGGAAGTGAGATTGAATTTGGTCAAACTGTATCTAGGACGGTTTAGGGCGAATGATATATATCACCGTTACAACATAGCTCCCTTCGTCCTTTTCCTGCGTCAATTGGCGTTCTGACTGGTCGACTGTCCAAGGATCGCCCGGGCCAATCAGCGGCCAGTGATAACGCCTTTCCACCGGGCCAATCACCGTCCGTCCCATACTAAAGTCGCAGTAGCGCCCGAACTGTGTGGGGAGAACGCAATGTGGAGGGAGGCTAAGACTATGTACGTACATGTTGTATGTACATTAGATATATACTCGGCTAACTATCTATATGTACTATATTGTATCTGCACTATATGCATCTCCTCCGTATTGTTCCGATTTCTACTGACCGCTATGCAATCTGATATGTAATACAATACATTAAAATAGATTGTACCGGAGTGGAACACCCCGGAGTCAAGATCCTGTTCCCCGGCACATGCTCAATGCTACTGTGGCGAACGGAAGAGCACGGACTTGGCAGAAGATGTAATAAGAAAGGAGCGGCAATGGTTGGTCCGGGAGGTTTCTATTATGAATCACCAATTCCCGAGTACCTATGGCCTGTTAATCCAACATCCTGCAATCGATCACTGAAAAAAAAAAGAACACCGTCAAAACTCCATGCTCCTAAGAATGAAACATCCACAAAATGCAATCCCCTATATGCTTTACTCGGTGAAGTTGCGCAGCTTGGTCAGTTCATCTAGCAATTCTTGCAAGTCGCTGTCCGAGATCTTGTTCTGGAGACTCGGGATGAGAGACTTGGCCTCCTCGGCATTGTCACAACATAAACTGCCTGTTCAGAGACCCGAGTCAGTCAATCTATCCAGGTAAAAGTACATGGAGTAATGTCATGTCTTGGCTGATGGGGCAGTGCAAATCAACTCACCCAGCTGTGACCGCTCAAACATCTCCAGTTCCGTGTGAGAGTTCAAAAGTCGCTCGACGGCCTTGATATTCTCCTCATCCTTGAACCGCGCAAACACGTCCAAGTAATCCAAGGTCTTGGTCAGGTTCCTGTAGACATCACAAGTAAGTATTGATATCCGACCACGACGTCGGGTCTGTCCACTCACTCCGGCTCTTCGTATTTATTCCCCCCGCGCCGCTTGTTCTCCAACACCTTGTGGATAACGAGTCGTGCTTCGGATAGCGAGAGAGTGTGTGTGTGTTGGTCAGCGCCTAGCTTGAGCGTGGAGGCGGCTTCGAGCTCGCCTTGTGGCAGCGCGCGCTTGCGGTGTGTGGGTGGGGGTAGTTGGACACTCATTGTGTGGTTTGAAGGGCGGGATTCCGTAAATTCGGGTATGCAGCTTAGTGCTTCGAATCGAATGTGTTTGTAAAAGTAACTTGCCCGAAGTTACTTCGTCGACGCCGTGTATTTGCTGTAAAAAGATGAGGTGACTTGTTTGGCGATCTCTGCAGTTGAACTTCCGGCAGTTCAAGGCGGTGACCCCGGTACCGCTTCATCAATACAATTTAACTCCGATGGAAGGCAACTCGTACTTATTTATTACTACTTGTTTATTACTACCAATACTTGATAGATGATTCTTAGGGTATCAGAGTTTTATTTTTGTGGAGAAGTCCAAACGCCTCACATGCAGCTATGCAACTCTATACCTTCCGAAAAGCGACCTCCCGCGGCAGACGGAAGCTAGCACAGAACATCTGCTTCTTAGGACTAACCAGCCTCACATTGTGAATAGCGAGTTCCACTTCCTGGTTACCCTTGCCTCCCACACAGTCATCAATAGTGACCTTGTATCCGATCCGCTCAGAGATCCTCTCACAGATATCAATGTGATCATCCACCTCGTCAGTTGAGTGTCCCGAGAAACAATAAACATGGACCATGGGCAATTTCTGCTCCGTGTTAGGCGCGAAAATGTGTTCCTCGCCAGCATAGAGCCCAGGGAAGGCATCGAGGAATTCAATAGCCGTAGCAGGCAAGTTCATGACATAGTGATTGACAACGGTAGGACGGGTGTATATCTTCGGCGCGGGGAGCGGGACCCCGTTGCCTTGCGCAACCTTGCGCTGCTTCTCCCTGCTCACCTTCGGGTGGATAGTAACGGTAAGCGGCTCCGCGCTCAGCAACGACCGACCCGACGAACGGATAAACTCCCGACCATCCTGGTTGAAAGCGGTGACGAAATCTTGCACCCTATTACGCTGGATGGCATCTTGCATAACTTCGAATCCGTGCGGGTTGAGATCGTTGGCCCATACAAAGATCTTCTTGCGGCCTGCTGGAACGGCGAAGGGCCCAACGCCGGCCATCACGTCGCAGACCATCTCGCTGGGCTCGAACTTCTCGACTAGACGGCGATGCTCGGTCTCCAGGCGGCTGTTCCAGTAGACACGGGCGTAGTCGAACCGGAACTCGCAGTCCTGCTCGTGCTGGATGACATTAAGGTCGTTCTCGCCTGCCAGCAGTTCGAATGGGAAGGTGCGGAACTGGCTGTGTGAGCCGACATCTTCGGTCTTATTGATGACGGTGCGGACGGTCGGGTTCTTGTCCATAAGAACCTCGGCAAGTATGTGCTTATATGGCAGGTATTGGGCGCGGAGATTTAAATGCACTGTTTCGTCAGTATTGGTTATAGCAGTGACTCAGACGAACATACAGACATGCCCCACTTGAGTGAAGCCTTGAGGAATCTCTTCCAGGTCCTCAGGAAGAATCGATGAGATTATCTCAGCTATGAGAAGGTTAGCATGTATACTGAACCGAGAGAACATCCGTCAAGCATACCGTACGACCAATGGTCATATTCCAATTCCAATTCATAAGGCCCCAAGGCGACCGTTCCCTTATTTACAAGCTCGTTGATAGTAGGCGACCATGTAGCCTTATCTATAAACATATTAGAACCTCCATGCATGTATCTATCAAGCCTAGCGGATCCAGGCAACAAACCTACCATCCAACTTCAGGTTCTCGCGCAACAACATAGCCTTCCACACTTTGCCATCTTCATCCTTCGCCTCGCGGATAGGACTAATGCGTGGCCAGAGCAGTATGTCGCGGCTCTTGACCAGCTCCTTCCGCACGTTCGAGATATCGCTTGCTTTAAAAATTCGGGCGACGGAGAGGGGCACCTTTCTGCGGAAAAATGACCGGTCGAGTGTGCGCATCGCACGATTTACAGGGGGTCGGAACATGTCGGCGATCTCGTAGGGAGTAGCCTGCTTGGAAGCTTCATCTGTGGGGGTCATTGGAGGTAGAGTATTCAGTTTCGGCCTATTGGTATTGTTCCTTGCTGGAAGCTCGAGGCGCATTGCGGCGCGATAATTTATTCTTATCAGCCACGTGACGTCTTATCTAGATCTATACAATCCTAACATGTGAGATGTAGGACGAAATCATTCACTGGCCGGGTAAAGCTTATATTTTCTATTAAGCATGCTAATTGTATATATGGATGAAAGACGGTCATAATTCCCTGCTGTACAAAATGCTGAGAAGATAACACAATAATCAGGTCGCAAGCTATCATATCATAACAGTTCGTGAGATGGGACCAACACTGAGCCGGAATTATAGTAGGAATGCAAATGCCAATTGGCAGTATTCGCTGGATGTGCAATCCGATTCCAAAGGTGACATCAATAGGGTTTCATCCCCTCAATAAGAGAACGATCCAGTTCCCTCTGAGCTTCCAGATTAGAAACACGGTCTTGCAGCTTCTTAATCTCGCCATCCTTCTTCTTCAATGCCAGCCGCGTCATATCCCGCCCACGGATAATCCCCCGTGTCTTCAAATCCTGCCGGTTAAGCAGCGAAAGCACCTCGTCGTGCGCTCTGTTTGGCAAAACAACACTATGTTTCTCCAGGATATCGAGTAGACTCTTTGCAAGATCCGAGGTGTCAAACTTCGAGTCCGCAGAGAGTACATCGTTGTACTTGCTAGGCGTGGGTGTCATGCATAATTCCGCCGACGAAGGAAACATCTCGGTGCGCGAGGAGCGGGATGAGAAAGGCGTCGCGGGTGCAGACCGGTCGTAGGAAGACTTATCATTTGTGATTTCGCCCAATTTGCGCTTTCCGGGTGAGGTCACCGCGGCGGTGCGGGGGGTCTTGAACGGGGAGTCGGGGTGGAAGTTGGGTTGCGAGATGAAGGTCTCGGTCTGGCTGGAAGATAGTGCCTTGATAAGCTCATCGTCATCCGAGTCATCATTCCAGCCAAAATCGTCTGACGCTTCCGAGATCATTCTGGCCTTGGCTGTCTTGGGAGGCGACTTGAAGTTGCGCTGCGGGGTGTCGATAAATTTGCGCTCGGTTTGTGGAGTAATCAGTCCATTGTTCATACGGCCTGGTGTGCGCTTTGATGGAGTGATCGAGAAAGAGTCGGGTTCGGATCGAGAGTTGGCAAGAACGACTGCTTGTTCGCGGATTACAGCGTCAGCTGCCCACAGGAAGAAGCTGCATCGCGACTGTGCGCAAGTCCAAACTGTTTTGTATGTCAGTCGCTGACTTTTATCGAGCATGGGGATATCTTTCCGAGCATTGAGAACCTCGGAAGATTCTACATACACCATTTCCCTAAGTTTGGCCCATGCCTCTTAGTTTCACGACGGACAGCGACTGGCCGATCCGCGCAGTTACAGCACCAAAGGCCATCTCTGAAGAGGCCACGGTTCTGGCGTGAAGTAGTTCTTGGAGAACCTTGGTATATCTGAGGGTACGACATTTGCGACAGTGGTTTCCCAAATGTTGAAGAGGGAAGATGACGCTGTCGCCATGGAAACTGGCTTATCTCTTATCGAGACTCCAGGTCTTGGCATTATCAGAAGATCTATAAAATCCTTCAGGTGGGTTAACAGTGCATGAATAGAAGATGTACTATGAGTAGAACATAGATATAGGGGATAATATGGTAATCTATAATCAGGTTGAATAGAAGAGACTGTTTGACATGCATTGTTGAGGCTGTGGTTTGATCTCAACCCATTCAACGCCGTTCTTGCCTAGTATGTATAAAGAAATCATCTGAAGTTTGACAGCACGTGCTGTCGCTTCTTAAAGTACTCACGCGTTTACTACTCCCACAATCAAATCCTCCTTCTTGCATACCCCTCTAAACGCGAAAATGAGTGCACCACGCACAAGCAAAGAGGGACCCTTCTCAACCATCCCCAAAGAACTATACCTCGCGATATCTGAGTTCCTTCCATCACTATCAGACCTAAATGCGTTCGCGCGCACCACCACAGCAACCTACAGTCTCCTCAACACAGACCTGTACAAGCGCGATGCAAAGTCTCCCAACCCCAAATCCCTCTTCTGGGCCGCAACAACCGACAACACCTCAACAGCCCTCAAAGCTCTTTCCGCAGGCTTCGACATCGAATCCAAGACAGAGATAAATACAGGCCAGCAACTCAAGGGCTGCACCCCAATCCTGCTAGCCGCTTATTACAACAGCCCCGCAGTACTCAAACTGCTCCTGCTAAACGACAAAGCAAACCCGAACACCCCCGATGACAAATGGCTTTGCTCGCCACTGTCCTGGGCCGTCAAAGAGTGCTGCATAGCCATTGTTCAGACCCTGCTCAGCGACAGCCGTACAGACGTCAACCAGCAAGACAAGATTGGCGATACCGCACTCATGATTGCCGTCAACTACCAGCCCGCGATGGTCCCCCTGCTTCTCTGTAGCGGACGGGCTGATCCGCGCGTGGGAAATCTGCAGGGATGGACGCCTCTCAGTCGTGCCGCGCAGGAGATTGATGGAGACGTGGGCATGTTGCTTGCCGACCACCTGCGCCTGATTATCCAGGGGGACGATGGCGAAGAGGAGTGTCAGCATGTGTTTTTCTATGCGGCTGTCATGGGCTATGTTGACATCGTGCATTACATGGTGAAATGCTATGGAGAGAAGGTCGACCCTAACGCCGAGGAACGACAGTATGGCCGGGGAGCGTTCGCGATTGCGGCCTCGGCGGAGCGGTTGGAGGTTGTGCAGTTTTTGCTGGAGTGGAAGGCTACGAACCCTAACGTGCAGACGGATTGGACGAAGCAGACGCCCTTGTTTGTTGCTGCGCAGCATGGACACGACGAGATCGTGGCGCTGTTGCTTGATTCTGGCAGGGTTGACCTGGAGATTGCTGACAAGCATGGGACTACGCCGTTGGGAATCGCGGCCGAAAGAAACCACGAGGACATCGTGCGGCGGTTGTTGGCTGGGCCTCGACGGGCTAATCCTAATGCTCGCGACAAGAAGGGTCGGACACCGCTGTTCCATGCTGCATTGAGCGGTCGCCTGGGTGTTGTGATAATACTCCTTGAGGCGGATGGAATTGATTTGCAGTTGAGTGATGCAGAGGGGAAGACGCCGGTGGCCGTGGCCTTGGAATATGGCAATCGCCAGGTTGCGGAGGTGCTACAGAGATACATTGACAGCGAACCGTGAATATTATGGTCTCAATTATCATAACGCATCTGGTGTGCGGCCCGATCATATGCTGTATCTATCTAGTCCTTCCACCCTCAGCACAACCAAGAAATAGAAGCAAGCAATGAATCGGTGTATGAGAACAAAATCAAATAGTGGGAATCAAACGGGAGAAGCCATATCTATGGCGGTATCACGAATGTAGCAAAATAATTCTAACATCGACGTCTAATCAGCAAGTACATGCCGCAACATGGCACCGAACGGATCAGCAAGCTTGAGAATCTCCGTAACCTCGGGCTTGACAGGTTCACCCGCGGTACGACGAAGCTGGTCCTGTTTCTTTGACCGGCGGCGGCGCTCTACGGCAATGGGATCGTCCATGTCCTCATCTCCAGAGTCTTCATCAGAGGCTTCAGATGCTTCATCCGAGATAGTGAGGTCCTCTAGATCAGCCTGTAAACTGGTTAGCCTGAAATCCAAATCCATATTGAAGTCAAAGAAAAACATACCTCATCAAGACCGAAATCACTGCCCCTGAAGGCTGCAGCTCCTGGGATAGCCTCCCCAGATATACCTTCAGCAGCCATCTTCTGGCGAGTCTTGTTCAGATGCCAGCGTTTCCGGTCTTCTTGCCACTTGATAAGCTGATTGATTTCCGTGAGAGCAAGGTCTTTGTCGATCTGGCCAACTCCGACAGCTCCTTGGAACAAAGCATTGATGTCCATTTTACCTCCGGCGGGGCCATTGCGCAGGAAATCGAGGATCTCCTCAATCCAAGCCATGAGAGACTGGAAGAGACCGTTATCGTGCTGGTGCACTTCGTGGATGAACTTGTAAAAGTTGGCCTCGTGGCGAGCACACAGGTCGATGAACGCCTGCACTGTTTGGTTCGGATCGGCAGAGGCATCCTGGCGCTGGGCACTTTCAATCACACTGATAGCATCGTCGGCAAATAGAGCAAAGTCCGTAATGCTGTTGTATACGTTGGCAGATTTGTAAACCCGGACGAGCGGCTCGTAAAAGATAGTGAACAGATCGCGGAAGAGCTGCAGGGTGACTGGTTCCTCAACAATGCTTAGCATCATCGCCTTGTCGCGCTGGCGGGTGTAGAGCTTCAGAAGCTGCTTCATATGAGCGAACCATTGGGCGCCCTGTTGCATTTCCAGGTCTACGTTCTCCACGGCATAGTTCCAAGCCACGTAGCCGTTGAACACCTTGCCAATCTGTTCCGGGGTGAGTTCGGGCGACAGTAGATCAGAGCGAAGGATAGCGACAATGATGTCGACATCGTCGGTAGCAGCCTCTGCTCGGATCTCATTCTTGATGTCTTCCTCGGCATCCGCGAAGCTCTTGAGCTTCTGAGTAAGAATAGGATCTTCAACCTTCGAAGCCAGAGAAGAAATTGATTTTTGGAAATCTTTGATGCTTTCGTTTAGGGTTAATGAAAAGATGCGTTGCAAAAGTGACCGCGAGCCGAAGGGCTGGGCCATGAAAAGGTCTAGAACACCAGACATGACTGCAGCAGGGTTGGCGATGCGAATCACATTCTTCATGAGCGTGTAGGGAACCAGGCCGTGGATTCTCTTCGCCTGTGAAAACAGTTCAGGGGAGTTATCCTCGGCAAGGAACAGATGGTATATTGTTGCAGCAACCCTATTGAATGTTAGGACGGCGAAACACCAGGAAATCAGATAACTTACTCAATGCGGAGCCACTCGGCGAATTTCTGATATTGCGGGCTGAGCTCTGCAATTGAAGGCTTTTCCCGGATCTCGGCGAACAGCCTTGTTAATCCATCTGAAATCGTGGTCAGCAAACCATGTTACGCCGGAAGAAGCTGGCGACTTACTGCTCTCCACAATATCCCGGCGGAACTGCTCCATGTACACGTCCAGCTCCGCCGCTCGTTGCCTAGCAATCTCATAGAATCTCTTCTGTTCCTCGATCCTCACAGCATCCATGCTTTTCCGTTTCTCTACATCAATCAACTCTTCCTCGTTCAACTCGACGGGGCGCGCAGTCAAGAATTCTTCCATGACCTTGGATTCTGCAATGCGACTATTCTGCAATGCAGTGCGAAGGAACGCGCGCAGCGACACACGCTGCTCCTCTCGGTACAGCACAGTCGCCCTCGACACGTCGCTCGTTGACGTGCGCGGTGACTTGGTTGATCGCCTTGATCCTCGGGACAGCGATCGCCGGACGCTCCCTGTGGAAAGCGTTGGTGCAGAGAGCCGATCCTCGGGGGCACTCGTGTCCTGAGTAGAGAAAGATGAAAGGGACGAAGCATCATCATCTGCACTAGAGCCCCACCAGCTCGAGGTGGAAGAAGACTTGTTCTTACGAGGAAGAGGAGGGAGTTGTTTTCCTGGCAGCTCGGTCCTCAATCTCTTGTGGAGCTTGACAAACTCTCCATATCTCCTCCCAATATGAATCTCCGGTTTGTCGTGGTGCCGAACTCGAATAATAAATTCCTTCAGCATTAATTGTCAGCAAAACATCCCGCTCCCAAAAGGCCATTTTTCAGAATCAAACTTACTGCATGTTGATGGTATCGCATTGTCCGCTTGACAGAGGTTGTCCGGACGGCGGCCACGTTCACATCCCAACCATTAATTGAATTACCCTCGGGCATGTTAGCCAGCAGACCCGAATCCTGAGCACCACGCTCGACGATTTCCATCTCTGAGAACTGAATGCGCTCCTCATATCCCGACGCGGTCGGCACACCGGAAACCATCATCAGCTCCACGAGCTTCTCGCATTTGCGGGCCAACTTCCGGCGCTTCGTCTCCTCCAGTCGATCCTCCGAAGATGAGACATGTTTATTGGCAAAGGATTCCAAGAACTATATTCCCAACTGTTAGTCCGGTTTCCATTCAGGGAAGCGTAGCACCCACAACTTGTAGCTTATCCTGCCAAAACTCCTTCTCGCGCGCTTGATCCAGGAACGGGAAGTTCCGGACGTGGTGAACGAAAATATACCGAAGAATAGGCAGTTCCGAATCGACCGGGGCGACCTCACCGAATTCCGATTTGAATGGGGCGCCGAATCGCTGGAGTGCGGTAGGAGAATTTAGTTCGAAGATTTCAGCACGAACTTCGCGGGCGATGAGCTCGCGCTTGAGGTCTATGCCAGTTATCTACCTGTCAGCCACCGTGGAATCGGAATATCACCATCATATGCTCTAACTTACAGTGTTCTTGCTTGCCGGTCAAGACCTGGTCTGTTGGCGGGGTTGCACCGGCATCTCCGTTACCGCTAGGTAGAGCGGAATCAGGCGATTGTGTGTCTGGCATGTTGAGCGGTAATGCTCCTGCTCACTTGAGAGGGAAGCTGAGTCCCTAAGAGACTAAATTGCACGCCCAGGATTCACGTGATGCAAATTGAAGCACAGAATGTGTCTGCCTAAAGAGGCCGGGGCTGTAATGCGGAGCTACTCCGTCGACAGGGCTGAAGAGCGGGGAATGCCAGGGAATGGAATGCTTTGTCCCGCGATGTTTGTACTGGGAAAGATGTGGGAAAGACAATGTGGAGGGGGAGCGGAGCAGATGTCGGAAAAGACAGGATGTCGTCACCCCAATTTATTTTAATATTTAGCTGACACCTCAAATATTGGGGCTATACAAGGCTATGAAAGGCTATATATTGTAAGATTCTATATGTCATCCTGCTATCCTCCATACAATGATGAAATAGTCAGCCAGCGGCCAAAAATGGCTGCACCTGACGCCGGCCTTGACGTCACGTGTAAATATTCGCAGGCCCACCACGCCGCGCCTTGGCTTCCTCCACGTCAAAGTAAAAGCGTCGTATGTGGTAGATCCCTAAGGCCTCTTACTTCAAGAGTCCCCTCCCTTACCTGAGCGAAGAAATGATTCACCGGCTTCAAAACCACGTACACGGGCAACACCAGGTTGAGACTGGCGCTTACATGGATTCCGTTAGGCTTCTTTTAGGCCCTTGCGGCTATTTGTTATTGTGGAGCGGAGCAATAATAAATGTCATCATTGGCGAAAATACGGAAATAGCATGCGACCAAGGATGTTATCCGCGTCGACGCTTTAACCACCAATCAACAGGGATTGTAAGCTCGGCTTCTTGCCTTCAACCACAGGTAAGGGGGCTTTTCCCCTGATTCGTCAACCACGGCCAGTTTCCTACAATATGTGAAAAGAGACATCGCCTATTCAAAGCACTTATTAAACTATATCCTCACATATTCTGCCTCCAATGTTGGCACGAAGGCCGCTCTTCTAGCGAGTCGTCTTTACAAAAGCTCAACGTACCTAAGCCCTCTCCAGCGCACATCGTCCCCAGTACCAAATCGTCTTTTCTATCGCACAATTAGCACAATCCCAAGCAACCCTCTGCTTTCTACCCAGTATACGGGCCTATCCGGTCGCACTTACACTATCGAGCATGTTTTGCAGGAGGAAGTTTCTCCACCGCGTCAAGTGTATCGTGCCTCGTTAGTAGACACCAACCCTTCCCTATAGTTATTTACATACATGCTTATACATTCAGAGCGGATGGTCACAAATTCATATTAAAGTACATACATCCCATCAACTTCGAAGATCTCCGAGAAGTCAATAATCGCCTACGTGGCAATGCAAGTCATGTCCGCCTTGTTGTAGACACTATCCTCAACAAGTCTATGTTTTCGAAAACTTCACAGGTCACCTCTTAACTCTTGCCCAGAAGGACTCGCCCCTGCCAGTAACCAAGAAAATCCTTAAGGATGCCCTTACCGGGCTTGCTGAGCTTCACGATCAGGATATCGTTCACACAGGTATTTCCACTGCTATTTCCCGGGAATACCGGATTACAACTTACTCTTGTAGATATAAAACCAGACAACGTCTTCATCAATTGGCAGGATCGCAATGGCAAGATAATCGTCGACAAAGTTCAACTCGGAAATCTGGAAGATGCAGCTCATATCCCCCCAGGATGCGATATGGTCGGGAAACAAGCCGGCAACTGGATGTGGAGGAGTCCCGAAGCCCACGCAAGAGGACCTGTCAACAAACCTTCAGATGTGTTCTCATTTGCTCTTGTTGTAAGTCCCACATTCGGAATTTCCTAAGCGCAGCTGGTAACTGGTCATCAAGTGCATCTGTGCCGTTCATAAGCGCATCATTTTTGCAGTTCGGGAAGATGAGTTAGAGGAGGGCGTTGATCCCATCGCTGTCGTAATCGAGCGCCAGATCTCTTACTTCGCTGATGAAGACGGGCTCAATGGATTCTTGAAGCATCTTGGTGATAATCCATGGGTTCGCGTTTTCGAAGTCACTTGGGATGGATTGAACCAGAAGACCCCTCGTCAGTCGTTCGTACTCTGGAATGGTGTTGATGATGACTTCAAAAGTCTTGTATGTGCCATGGCTCGTTTTGATCCGGGGGAAAGGATCACGGCGCGTCAGGCGTTGGAGCATAAATGGTTTGAGGGCGTTTGATTGGGATGAGTCAATATTCAATTAACTACCTAATTTCTACGTGTACTGGCGTGATGTTTAGGAACATATATTGCTACACAGCCTGGCCATGATTGAAATGAACCAAGTATTCACGAGGCAAAGGAACTACGATATGTATCTCTTTCAGTTGGATAGAAAAATTCATTTCATCTATTTATTTCAAAGCGTAAAAGTAAATGACACCCCATCAATATGAAAGTAAAAAATCAGGACTTCAGCCATGTTATTTAGAGTGGAAAGATTAAGCTCAATCAAATATGAAAAAATAAGGAAAACCCGCATTTCCATCGCTGACAACATTAAATGCGCTCCAGAAAACAAAATTTGCAAAGACACCCCAAAATCCCGCCTTTTTACTTCATAAATTCCAGCTCCATGTCCCGAGGCAGGTAGTGTCCCTGGGGCTGCTGGCCATTCCAGGTCTGCATGTTCTGCAGAGCGCGCTCATGCTCGAGTGAGGGGAACATCTGTTGAGGGTGCTGGTATTGAGGCGAGTGGTCGCTAGGAGGAGTTTGCATCATGGGTGGAGCGCCGCGAGCCATCTGAGCGCTGTTATAAAGGGTAAAGTCGTTACCGGCCTGGGCTTGGAGTCCATATTCGTAGCGCTCAGAAAGAGTGTCGCCGACGTTACAAGAGTCCGGTGAATATAACATGGCGTTGCCCTGCGCACCGGGGGAGAGGCCGGTGGGCTTCCCAGAGGCATCGTAGGAACAGTGACTGAGGTTCATTGGTTCGTAGTCATTCGAATAACCCTTCATGGCCTCAAGGGCATGAGCCTGAGGAAGCTGTGCAGCCATCGCAGTGTAGTCCTCGTTGGTTGGATAGTCCAGATTGCTCCAATCCAGGTCGAAGTTGATGCTGTCCGTGCCGGTGAGCGGGGATCCGTCAAAGGACACAGGTCCCATCAAGTCGGGAACCGATTCGGCAGATGGAATAGACATGGAGTTCATGGACTGGCGGTGCATCTCCAGGGCTGGAATCAAGCCGTTCGGGTCACCCGCTTCAAATTGACTCTGGAAGCCGCTCAGATTCACCGATGTTGGGAACGAGTTAACGTCGGTCATCAAATAGGGTGATGCTTCTCCGAATAGAGGGAAATCCTCCCCATGGGCAAGCGCAGGAGGGTCAGCGAAGTTGAACTGGGGATTCTCAGGCCAGTTGTAGGCCTGGTCGCTAGGTGAAGGACTGGGACCAGGGATTGGCGATGCGAAGTCGGTTGCCTTCGAAGCAGGAGTAGACACACTGGGAGTCTGAGGTGTGGCCTGGACAGAAGAGCCTCGCTTGCTGCCATTGCGTCCGTTGTTCTTGGAGCGAACGTAAACCCAACCATGAGATTTTTCCATGTGCTGCTTGCAGTTGCTGGCACGTTTGGAAGCATAGGGGCACTTGTGGAATTGACACTTGTAGAGAGTGGGCTTTTCCGAATGCCTATCGTTCATGTGACGATCACGTTCTTTCTCGGTGGGCCAACCTTTAGTGTGGTAGTTGCAGTCAGAGTGCTCGCACTTCCAAGGGCGAGTGTGTGTCTTCTCGTGTTTCCTATGAATGGGTTAGCAATTGAATTCCGACACTTCGATTCAACAGGACAACTTACGTCAAGTCGCAGGGGCGCTTAAAGACCTTGTCGCAGTCGGAGCATTTTTGATTGATGTTCATGGGAGGGGCATCCTTCTTGCGGCGCGCCATAGAGCGCTCAACGCCCTCATCGATTGCATCGTCGAGGGTGATAGTACGCTTGGCAGTACTAGAAACATCCGCCTCGTAGGGCTTTCCAGTGGCCAGAGAGATTTGCTTTCCGTCTTGCGTAATTACAAGTTCGGCAGACTTCCCATTCTGGGATAGACCGCCTGCCAGAGTAGCCTTCGGGATGCTATTTTGAATTAGCTAGGCTCTGTTGTCCAAATCGAATGGAATATCACATACATAGAAGGGGTGGACTCCTTGTTAGTCTCGGAGTCCTGAGTCGCCTGGACTCGCTCGCGTTCAGCGCGAATCATTGCTGCGTATCGTCGGACCTGCGAAACAAGGTCAAGGAAGTATCCGTTAGTATAAGGTCGATCGGCTGGTAGTCGTTGATCACGATCGTTGAGGTGCGACGCCGAAGTATGTAAGCATTGGATTGTAAATTCGCAGAAGTTGAGGTAAGAATTCCGAGAAGTGGCGGAGTTCTTTGAAGTATAAGAAAAAAAAATAAGCATAACTAGAACTCCATAAACCCATTGAAGAGAACAATGTATTGACTTACCGGCGCCAACCACAATAGGGTTTTCTCGAGGTCGCGCAAGCAAACAATCTGTTTATTGATAATGCGCTGGGGGACACTTCGGGCCAATGCGTGGAATGGTTTCAAACGGGGCTCTTTCAGAATAGGGACAAGCACAAAACGTTCAATCTGTTTGCAGGCGGCGGGTCCTAATTGACGTTTTGGCGATGAACCAATATCGAAAGCCGAAATAGAGCTTGTGATGGCAGATTGATTGTCATGAATACCATCATTCACTATTCATTGTTAGTACTCAAATAGGAAACAATAGGGAACAAAGGGCAACAATGAATTCCCGGGGCATGTGACACCCACCTTTATTTTCAGAATCAGCGAGCCCCTCTTCGCTACTGACAGAAGTTCCTAGTCCACTGTCGGACTCGTGGCTATGCTGTTGACGGGACTTTTTCTCGTCTAGTGGGATGGGAATGCTGCGGCCCTCTTCTTTTAAGGAGCGCGGGGAGCCAGACATAGACTCGGAGTTACTGCGCACTAACCCACTCTCTATCGTACTTTCACCAGCGTCCGAGCTCTGGTCTTCGGTGGGTTCCAGAGTCAGCCGGCCTAGGATGGAAGTCATGCGCTCTTCGGCAACAGCGATAGATTCTAACGAGGTGGCCGAGCGATGAGGTAGGGAGCGGAAGTTCAAGACAGGGTCGCGATCGCTGGATGGAGGAGAAGTAGGGGAATGGAAAGTCTCTCCTTTCTTCAGGGGCATTTTAGAGCTGGGCGAGTCGCTGGGAAGAGCGCTGTTTAAGACCGGCCGAGGGCGCCGGGGGGCCCCCCGCGGGGGGGGCGGGGTAAAAAAAGGAAATTTGGGGGGTGTGAGTTGGGGCCGGAAGTAGTTTTGATAGTCGGGTCGGGGGAGCTCCAGGGGGGTACGGGGGGTGGG